GAATCTATTGAATTACCTCATCAGCACGTCATTTCTGTCACATCATGTTCAGCTATAACATAATCAAACTGCCTTTAAATGGTAATTACCTATTCGAACATGATTCGTTCAGCTATTCGTGTGACAGCATCCTAATCCTAAAGTGTGATCTGAAACCTGTGTTACCTACTCATCCACTCCTGTCTGACAAGCTTATACTCAATAGCATAAGTGTGCTTTGAGTGTTTGGATTATGATCTGTAGGTTTGCTCATGGTCTTGTGAGTGAGGCTCTGCTGGGCCAGCCAACTTTGTTTCAGGCATCCTTCAGAGTCTCACCTACAGTGTGTAAAATTTGTGTTCTGTTGCATTTGATTTCACTTTGACTTTGACTTTTACAGGGCAGTGTGTTTAGGGTCACTGTCCTTTATGGACATCTTTATGCTTTTAGTGTCTTAAAAATGTTTTTTTTTCTGTTATCTTCTGAAGTGATTCTGCCGGTACAACCCTGAAAAGTGGTTCTTCAAGGGTTATTTAGTAAAGAAAATAGCAATATGTAGGATTGTGACCATAATGTTTTGAACATGAATCATTTTTTTGTAGTTAAATGTTTATTTTATGTAATAGTTCTGTGTAGTACCAAAAATGGTCCTACTATTGTTTCAAGTCATAAAACCTTTTTTTTTTGATACTATATAGAACACTTTTTGTCAAGAGTGTACAGTAATGAGCAGCCACACCGTTGATGAAGAATACTGAGCTAGTTGTGGCAACCATGTTTTCTGAAGTTGCAAAACTGTCTCCACCATGATTCAGGCATTAAGTATAAATTTGTGGTTAATGGCAGTTCCTTGTTTGTGCCATACTTGTTTTTCACAATGTTTGTCATTTGTCAATTTGTCATTTTGTTGCATGCTTTGATCACTGACATTCTGCAGGTTTTCTAGAATGTGGTAGCTTTTCCTCTGTTTAGTGTTCCTCATCTGTTGGTCCATCTTGTGTTTAAACAACTGAAAGGGTTTTGTGGTCATCATCAGATAGTACTCCTCCTTGTCCCTCCAGGTTTCTTGGGGAGCTATTCGTAGTTTTGTTCGTATTTGTAATTGTAATTAGTAGTTGGCATGCCTGTTTTAGATGTTTTACTGATATTTCTTCATCTGGTCATTCATTTGTCCTAATTTTGTCAGACCCAGATTCCTAGAACAAGAGCAAACCCTACACTTAAGCCTGGTCCTTATGTATATGCAATGTGAATGCAAATGTGTGGCTGTGAAAATGGTTGAATGTTTGAAAAGGTATATATCAGATTTGGTTGAAAATACTTTAAAATTAAAGTTTATTATTCATTGCTATTCTGATGTTTCAAAATCAGATTTTGGCATTCTAAAGAAGCAAAATGTTAATATCTGTCTGTACTATCTTAAACTAACGTTTAGTCTATCTGCTTAAATAAAGATGTTAACTTATGTAGGATTGAGACTAATACGATAGTAGAAGCCCACTGATCAGCAATGAAAGAATTCAAAGAAATCAAACAGAACAAACCAACGCACGTTTTTGTTGTATCTCAAAGGTCTGTAACTTCAGTCTGTAACTTCATTATGCATGTTTGGCAAGTCCAGATGTTTTCATAAGTTTATTTTGTAGTTGTTCATGTTGTATAGGTCCATCTGTACCTCGCATTAAAGCTTAATCAGTTACATAATAAAGGAAGAGACTGATCACTGGTTGAAATATGAATGGGAAAGCTTGTAACCCTCAACATGATGTCTGTTTACAGGGAAAGTTCTGAAAAATTGGTTTTTGTGTGTTATCTAAGCCAAACGCAACAGACTATTTATGCTGTTTTTCTCAGATTTTACCAATGATTTCAGATATATATTTGAAACGTTAATGTGGACTTTGATTTCAGTTTTATAGGTCTCTCCCTATTCAAAAAGATAGGAGTCTGGTCTTGTATGACTGGAAATAACTGCCTAGTGGTGCTGCCAAGTTGGCCGTCGAGTGGACAGACTTCCTGTAAGGACTTTGGCTTTAAGCAGCTGTAGCTTAATGTTTTGTTCATTCACTGATATCAATTTGAAGCCATCAGTAATCGGACTGCATAATCAGATTGGCTGACAAACTTGCATTCTGATCTTGCTCTAGCTCATAGTGAATGTGATCTGACTATGCTGTCGTTGGCTAGCAGGCACATTGTCTATCTTAATTAGCTTATAATTTTCGTTATTCAGTGGCGCACAGCAACATAACAATCATAAATTTTCTATGCTGAGACTGATGCAAATGCATTGGGCCTTGGGTTGTGAACCAATGAAGGTAAGCCAATCACAGAAGTAGAAAGAACCAGTGACTCATGTGTCATCTGTCATATTTTATTTATTTGTTCTTGGGGTGGCTACAGCCTGAGCAGGGTCATGGTTCCTTTGCATGGTAGTCTAAAAGTACCTCCTTCCTTTTGTTTTTACAATAAGAGTTTGAAGTCTAACTGTATTTGTGTGGCGAGAGCGAGTTCAGTTGAGAAAAACATGTCTGGGATTGGGTTGTGGTGAACTCAGGATGACCTTGGTGCTTGGCAGTGGATCTGAGTAGGGTTGTAGAGTTAGACTTCATGCCGTCTCTCCTAGGTTGTGTTATTCCCTTCCTGTCATCTGAGTACTGTAGTTTTTGGCACTGAATTTAATGCTCTATTTAAGTAGCTGTGCTTTGCTGCTCAAAAGTGTTGAATGAAAATATGAAGTGTCGGTAGATAAACAAACAAATCTGCTACTTGTTTATCCCTCAAAGTATGTAAATAATAACTTTGCACTCGCAAATAGTCTCAATGAGCACATCGTCACTGTCATAACAAAACCATGTATCCCCAAAATGTTAACTTTAGAAAAGAATGCAAACATATTTTCTTACTTTGTAATGTAAGTGAAGGTATGAGATTTTATTCAAAGTCATCTTGAAATGTTCGCACAATATGAAGAGCAGCTGCTGTGCTCAGATGATGCAGAAAAATAATGGATATGCATGCTGTTTTTATGACAGTGACAGTATGCTTTGGAAGGATCTGGCACAAGTATTTAGAATGCTGCCAGGTATTTTGCAATAGTTCCACACTGAAATAAAATTGTAGGTGTCTGAGGTTTCCATTATCTAGTATCTTTATTTCATTTTCATTTTGTGACCTCACTGACATTCTTTCTAACCTCTAACCACTAACCAGAAGCATCTGCCACTGTGTTGTTAAAATGTTCCTATTAGATATTCAGGTTCGTATTAGGAAAACTATTCTTCTCTCTGTTTCCAGAGTAGAGTCATCCTTTAGCAAGAAGTTGAAGTCATTATGACCTGTATCTAATGTTGAGAATTCTTTACTGGAAATAGATGAAAATAGTTGGTGTTTTTGTTGTTTCAAGCAAGGAACGTTTGTCAAGTTACTTTGAATCATTTTTATAACATGGCCTCAACCGCAGATTATTTTATTTATCACAGTTATATGACTAATCACATTCACCCTCTAACCAGCTTGTGTTCATTTGAAAGTTGTGATGTTTGAGTAAAACTGTCATTTTCTCCCTACGAACATTACCATCATCAGTAGGAGGTGAAATAGGAACAAAAACTTACAATCACATCAGAGGAACTGATGAAATACATTAACCAGAAATGATCTCATGATGGCTCATTCTTTCTGCCACACTTTTTGAAACAGTAGCATTTAACATCAGATGGAAACTTAATCATGATTTCGACATATCTGTGTGTACATCTTTAGAGTAGGTTCTTTTGTATTTATTTTATTTTGGTGGGTGGAACTGGATAATAACTGTTTACTTCCTGCATAGGATTAAGTGTTCTGCCTTTAAAACCTCCATTTTAGCACTGTTTTTAGTAGTGCAAAGCACCATAAGATGATTCTATTGCTGTTATTTTGCAGGACAAATCTGTTGCAAGTGTTGAGAGTGTACTTTTGACTGCTGTCTTCTCTGTTGAAGCAAAACAGAATTGTGCTGTGGAAAAATCAACACTTAGTTAACGCCCTCCTACAGTTTAGTGTTTAGCAGATGCTCTTTTCCAGAGCAGTGGTAGGTAAAGTGTAACATTAGGAGTCCAGCCCAAAGGGACTCTTTTATAGCATTGGCATTTCTGCCTGGACAGGAAAAAAAAAATTCAGTCTCCAGTGTGCATAGCAATAGTGTTATCCACTATACTGTTCAACCACTCCAACCAGTACCATTACTGACATAAACTTTGGTCTTAGCAGGAAGAAAAAAAGACTTCTTCATGCCAGTTCTATCTTTTAGACTAAGCAAACAATTTTACTATCCTGTTAGTCTTCAAATGAGCTAAGAATATTATTAATAAAACATGCTTAAAACATACTGTATGATGCTATGTTGTATATAATTTTTATGTTTTCCACTCTGCTCACCATAAAGGTCCTCCTTGCTCCTCCTGGCTCCTCTCCTGGCTGAGGCAGACCCCACACTAGCCTCCTCCAGGCCCCCAGGCTCTACTGGAGCTGCAAGGCTCCATTCTCGCTTCCACTGGATCGCTGACCATGTGCCTGCCTTCAGAGTGCCTGGGGGCCGCATCCACATCCTGCACACCCCTGATGAGTTTTATCAGGCTATGAAGGTGTGTGCATGCATGTTGGATCTGAACCCAGTATATACTGTTTTTTCCTATAATTTGTGCATGAATACCTGCTAGTTCATCACTGAACCACAGGATTTGCATTGTGATCATGTTTAGCTAAAGAGATGGACATTTCATGTCAAGCTGTCAGTATATACTCTATCCATGTAGTCACATGACCAGTAGTTCATGATCTTGAAAAATATGGATAATTAAAGCACATAGCTGGAAACTTCTAAGTTAAGGTAACACATATCACAGCAGGTTGAGTTATCACAGTACAAATATACGTTTGTATATGTAAATATACATTTCATTAAATGCCAAGATAAGTGAGTGGCCTGATTATATACAGTGCTGGGAAAAAGTTTTAGGCACCTGAGAAAATTCTGTTTAAAAAGCTATTTATCTAGGTACTTACTGCTTATTTACTCAGGAAAAAAACACTATTACAATAAATACAAAATAAAGCTTCATGTATGTCAATGTTTTTTTTTTTTTTCTTTTTCATTTCAAAACTTCTCCTGGAGGAAACCCTGTATTTTTTTTGTAGTTACCATTTAATACCTGGATTAGCTAATCAGTGCTTAATTATGTTCAATCTAGTATGCTGGGGGAATTTAACAAATCTGTGTGATGGCTGGGGTGTCCAGGAGAAATGTGGAGCCCCATTTGATGTGCTCACATGATATTAACTACTTTTCTGAAAACAAGAAATTTTTGTTACTTTTTACTGTACTTATGTCTGTTTGTACCTGTTCTAATGATATATGGTGTTTTTACTAGCACTGACTCACTTATTGCTAAGATTTAAAATAATTTGCTTGGTGCCTAAGACTTTGGACACAGTACTGTATATGATGGCCATTGCCCATATCAGAAAGTAAGACAAATTACTTAATTACTAAACTAAAGCCTTTTATTAAGATAATGCCAGTTCTTTTTCTGCTTTTCATTTTTAAATTATGTTTAGTAGTGATAAAGCAATACAAAATAGGTGTTGTATGAGGATGATGTGGGGTCGAATTTTACGCCACATTATACTCAGTCCAATGTCAAGTGAGCTTGACCAAAATATGTGTTTAGTAGGCCAATATCACATTAACAACTCCGCATAAATGTTTATTTTCTTGTCATATATTTGAAAGGTACATTCTTAACAAATAGTCTGATTGAACGGACAGACTAAAATTGGTCAGTGCAACATTAAATGTGACGATATGTAATTTTTTAGCTCTCCTCAAAAAATGCAAAGGATTCCTCGCAAGTACATTAATATTTATCATCTTGTTGTAATTGCAAATGTGAACACTGTATAATCTGAATAATTTATCAAACTGCCAGCCGCTAAGAGAAGCTAACTTAGCTAGCTAACGAATTGTAACATCGTTCTGCAAAGGTATTTATTATTCAACAACAGATTAAAATGAATGTTAGTAAACACAGTAACCCTGATAAACTAGCTTACTATAGAGTTGCTTGTTAATATTTTGGAAATTGCACTGTAAATTTGAGCTTCTACACAGATTAATATAAAGCTGTTTCACCTTTAGAAATGAATTAAAAACAGCACCACCCTCCACGTGATCAGGATAGTGTTTGTCTTAATTATGCCTTCCTCAGCGCACCTTTTCAGCTCTCTTAGAGTAATAATCATGACCAGTTTTCTGCCTCTCTCCAGGTTTGTTCCAAAGAGTTTAGTCTGATTTTTTTTTTTTTTCACTTGTCAGAAGTAGTGCTTAGATACAGTTGCTAAGCTGTGATTAGTTGAACATTGTGTCAGTAATTATTTAGCAAATTGTTAATAATATACCACAAGGTGATTTTAATTTAGAACATGGATTCATCTGTCTAAGTTCATCTGTTGGGCTGGATACTAACCATATACGAGTACCTTTGAAGCCCTACTGTAGGGCATCAAAAAAAAGAAAAGAGACATAATTCTGCAATAAATAAATGTAATTTAATTGTATCATTTTGAAGATTACCAGTTTTATCAGTTGGCCAACGTTATCAGCCAATTGCCAACATTCAGAGTAATTAATTCTCTCTGTCACTGATATGACAGGAAGGGCATCCACACTGAAGTGCAAGATGTTTTCTGTGTGACGTGTCTGAGAATTAATGTTGGGTGTTTTATTTCCAAACCAGCAATTACTCCTCCTGTTACTGGCAAGCCTGATATTACTGGCTTGTTGTTGATCACAAGGTTTGTTATTATCTGGTGTTTATCTGTTTTTGTCTTGCCATCTCAAAGTATAGCGTTGTATTCTACTGTGATATAACTTTATTGCTGTGTCTGATTATCCTTTATGTAATACTCAATGTTGTTTTAATTAAAAACAAAAGTCACAATGAAGCCTTTTCAGCTTGGTTTCTCTGCTAGCCTATCACTTGGTTAGATGTGATTGGCTTTCTCCAATTCTGTAATTATGCACCCTATGTTGTGTGCAGTTCTATTCACTAGAATGGGTTGTTACCTTACAGGGCACACTGCACTTACTTGAAAGAGCATTGATTGGTCTTGAAACTTTTGCTGATCTTGAAGCCCCACTCTACATTTGAGTGTTGCATTTTTATTGCACACTTCTGTATCACAAACACTGTGTTGCAATTAGAACAGTGAAAATGCCTGTGCTGCATGGTTGATGTTTTGCTGATGTACCTTTTTCTTTAAAAATGTGAATTTATAAATTGTTGAGTGGTTGCTGATAAAAGACATCTTTTTGAGAGTGCAAACAGCAAAAACATTAGGCATGTACAATGCATCTAATACTGAGCACTATTAGGATTTACATTTAATGTCAGTGTTAAACATCAGCATTAGCCTGGAGAAGATAGTATTAAATATGAAATTTGCTTCATGTAGTGTAGGGCTGTCACTTTATATTAGAATTTGGATAATTTGTTTGCTAGAATAATTTTTAATAAACAATTGAGTTGTTTTAAAAAGACCAAAAAACTACTTAACTGAACAATAACAAACCATGCACAGCCTTTCAAAGATTTAAACTCAGTTACTTGATTTTCTATTGAGTAATTGTAACAGCTTTATGATCTAATTTTTGGCAATTATTTGGAAACTTAAGAGCTGAAAGTAGAAATAAGAAAGGATGGAAGTCAGATGAGGGAAAGTGATGTGAATTTGGTATAATTTAACATTTAACAGCTAACAACCTCTTTAGTGAAGGGTCTTATTACTACTCTCTCTATATGAAATACATTGGGAAACCAGTGCATGAAATGTTAAAAGGTTTTGGACACTATTATGATGCCTCAGAAATGTAGCCACTGAATGGCTGCTGCACAAATTAGCTTCTGGAGCTTACAGTCTATATGGGGAGTCACATTGTCCACAAAGAATTTGGTTACCAAGACAGCTGACACCCACAATCTGGCACTATTAGGAATTATATTGACAGTGTCAGTCAGTCACAGTAGTAATGTCATGTTCTGTTGTGGTGTAGCACTAATGTTTTGCCTCTTTTAAAGTGTAATTGTTTTGTGATTTTCCAGGCTCGTATCAAGACAGCCAAGAGACGAGTGGTGTTGGCATCCTTGTATCTTGGCACAGGACCACTAGAACAAGATCTTGTATGTATTCTTTATGTACCTGTTTAAGTGAACCTGAAACTGTCTATTAGATCTGCTGAATGATAAGTGAACATTTTACTGTTTTCATAAAAGTTTAGACTGCTAAAGAATTCAACTGCTGCATAATTATGTTTGCAGACAATTGCTAATCACTTTAATTATAAAGTAAAATAAAAATAACTTCAATACAGGTTAATTGTATGGAAGAGGCGCTTAAGCGCTCTCAGGAAGATACAGCTGCCGATTTAAAAGTGTCTGTACTACTGGACTACACCAGAGGATCAAGAGGTTAGTGAGGAACTGTTGTCCTTCCTGCTCATGCTCTCTTCTGTTCTCACTTGCTCAAGCCTTGTTACCCACATGTATTTACAGCACAGTGGTCCACAACCAACATGACAGCATGTTATAACATGATCGTATGATTATATTCCTGAGAAAGGGTGATGAGGAAGAAATCACTTGGGGGGGAAAAACCCAGTTTTCTACTTCCTTTCTGTAGAATGACTGAGGTGCACAGCTAGCAGTGTGGCATGTGCGTATTGGTGCAATTCTGTAATTTTGCATTGCTTATTGCAGCATGTACTTTTCTTCCATAGTGACGATTACAGTTCTTATGTAAAGGGCTTTTTTGTGGCAAGAGGGGGAACTTTTCAGGAATTGTCATCAACCTATCACTTCAACTTTGCTTCTCACTTGAGAATGTGGCAAAATATGTTTTTGTTGAGTCCATTCTGTCAGTGATTAACACTGAGTAATTATAACTTGCTATTGTGGTTTCATGTTGCTTGGCTTGCATTAAATGTAGGTATGTGACCCTATAAAGTATTTGGATAGCTGCCTGTATACATGATTCTATCTTGCCTATGTGTGTGTTTGTGTGCAAATTTGCCTCTGTGTCTTCTCCAGGAAAGAATAATTCTCGTACGATGCTGTTGCCATTGCTGCAGCGTTTCCCAGAGCAGATGAGGGTGTGTCTGTACCACACTCCAGACCTGCGGGGTCTGCTGCGCCTTTTAGTTCCTGAACGCTTCAACGAGACTATTGGTGTGCAGCATATCAAAGCCTACCTGTTTGACGACAGTCTGATCATCAGTGGGTATGGACAGAAAGAACACACGCACTCATCTGTCATCAAATGCAAAAACATACAGTTCTAGACATATGCATGCAAATTTTAGAATGCTAAAATTCAGTATGTTTGTTTTGCATGGCCCCTAAATGTTGCTTATTTTACCTTAAATATACTTTGCATTATTAAAACTACTTATTATTAATCTCTGTGATCAGCATTTAGTGGCTTAATGACGGGTGCTGTGTTTATTGAGTGATCATTTATATGATCTTCTCTTGCAGAGCGAATCTGAGCGATTCGTACTTCACTAATCGTCAGGATCGCTATGTGCTGTTGGAAGATTGCAGAGAGGTGGCGGATTTCTTTGCTGAGCTGGTGCGAGCTGTGGGTGATGTGTCACTGCAGCTGGGCCCTGATGATACTGTTCACATGAAGGAGGGAATGGTTCACCCCTACAAAGGCAAGCGGATGTGTCTACCATTCTTGTTATCAGTGAACCAGTACAGCACAAAGCCAGATTTAATCAGTAGTTCAGTGAAAAATCAAATACACGGTCATAAAGCACATAAGCAGGTCTATCTGAAATTACTTAACAACTCAGTGCACTTGTTTGATCCTGTGAGGCAAGTGCTGATCATTTTAGGTGTACAGTTTTATGATCTTTCTTGGTGCAGTGTATTGTTCCATTAGTTATTAGCTACATTAGCCTTGCATGGCTAGTGTAAAAATAAAAAAAAAAATAGTTTTAGACACTAAATATGTCTTGGCTGATCAACTACATGTAGGATAAGGCATATGTATTGTGCAAAAGTTGATTTATTTTAATTTTCTTTATTTGTTGTCAAGTAGCATGTTAATACAGTCATTTATGGGAAATGTTCTTCTGTTCATACTGTGGTTGAGGAAGTCTTCAGAAGATTGACAACTCACAAAGAGTTACAGATCTGTTGGCAAGAGCTGTGGATTGTTTTCTCTGATTTGTGACACGACACACCCTTTTCTCATCTTACACTAATGTACATGGATAAGACATTTGTATAGCAGCTAAAGCTTTGAACTTGCATTTCCTTGTAGCACTCGCATTTTTTTAAAACCTTACGCTATTGCTGTAGGTTTACACCCTATGCCAGTCCAGTCTTTGGTAGGCTCCAGAGATGCTGGCAGTGGCCGTGGCAGTGGCAGCAGTACCCTGCTTGATCTATGGCTGGTGTGCCTTACATTCAGACTGCTCCGTGGGCTTAGAGAGCACAGATGAGTGAATGAGTGATTATGTCCACTCTGTAAAGCCATATCCGTAACCCAAGCACCGCCACTGAGAAGCTAGCGCCGGACCATGACATAACCACTCTAGAACGGGACTACAGTTTGTCACAGATCCCAGAAATAGAGTGATGATGTCACCTTGCTGGTGGTAAATGATCTGCGAAGGGAGGGACAGAGGGAGGGTGCAATGGATAGACAGACGTGAAGGAGTGAGCAAGGCCTTGCAAGAGTCTGCTGAGATGGGAATATGCCAAGAAGAGATGGGCTGATGGGCAGAAAGTGAAACCTATGAATTAAGTATAAGCATAAGGAAGAAAAATGGTGTACATGATATATTAGTCATTGATAAATGGGGAAAATTGTCATCATCAGTCCCATAATGAAATGACAGCCAATAACTTGGCACCCTGTTTTTGCTTGGCTTATGCACATATACTCACTACTGAATTGGCAAATCAGTTCTTTTCAAAGATAATTTTATGAACAGATCTCTCACTGAAATGAATGGCATAGTGGATAACACCATTTTGAATATTTTGAAAACTGAAAATAAATTTTGAAGATGAAGTATTACACCACTGACATAAAGGTGCATCCTCTTACAAGTTAATCTATATGAGTTTAACATGAAACCAGTTGATTTAAAGTGAAATATTATTCTTAGATTCATATTTGAAGGGTTTCTTTCCAAAATGCATTATAGACCACATTTTAAAAATGTTCTTTTTTTCCATGGTGTTTATTGTTGGGAGTGGGCTTTACACACTAGAAATATCGGTACTACATCAGTGCCATATCAGCCCTATGCCAGCACTATATGATAATTACACTTCCTTTATCAGAGAGAAAAAAATTGTTTTCCATTATACATCAGCAATTATTCTTTCCATAAACATGTATTTACAAAATTATTACAAATTGAATTACAGCAAGAGAAACTCTTCATTTGTACCAAATTATTATTTAAACTCAATTAGGTCAATCTGTAAGCAGGTAAACTCAATATTTGAATGTTCTTCATGGAAATCCATCACATAGCCAGACGGGCGTGCAATGACCCAAATACGGTAACTGTCACGTTACTATCATGACTGTGGAACTTTAATCAGTGATACATCTTTTTCTAACCGTATTTTAAGTCTTATGTTCACTGCACTTCATGTATGGATCATAATCTTTGGATCATAATTTGTATTTGACACAACATCTTGGTATTGTTATTGGCCCAGACATTCCATATCGATGCAGCTGTAATTATTTTTGTTCTCTTTTAACCCCTTACACCTTCTTATTAAACAAATTATGCAGAGGAGTGATAGACAGAGCATGAAAGCTCTCCTTCCACTAAACTGGAAGTGGATGACCATTGAGAAGCCCATCTGCTGAGTTTGCACTTCACTGCCTGTGTAGCACCAGTAATCGGATCCTCCTGCCTGTCGGTAAGAGCGGCTGAACTCCACGGCCCTCTTAACTGGATGTGTTTGGTCCTCAGAGGCTTCAGAGGCTTGGGGTTGCTGGTGCTCTGCCTGTGGGGAAAGCCCCTGTCTTTGCCATCAAAGCGTGGCTTGTTTGCTCCACACATATTTGTGGCTTTGCTTCCTTTCTACGGTCGGAAAACAGTCTTTGGATTAGCCTCTCCCACTCGATTTTTAACACATCCTCATTGTGGAGTGCACCAAACTGGCCCTAGATCAGTAGGATTGGGCCATACATTACAAACACACAGCGCTTTTGTCCTGAAACTAATTCATTATTTACAGATTGCATCTCTTTCTATGACTCACCGTGGCACATTATGTCTAGCAGAGGCGCCAGGCTTTGACAGAGCGCCTTTCCAGACGGTCAGCAGTTATTGACCCGCTTCTCTGAGGTTTGGATCATGCATTTGCGAGATCCTTATATGTGCAAAGGCCTCTCTGAGAAGCGTGGAGTACATATAAATTGAAAAAAGGTCTTTTGGCAGCGCTTTTAATACACATGTCGACATCAGTTGTGAATTAGGCTGATGTTTCTCCACTCAAGACTGTTGTGTTTAAAGAAGGCAAAGAGTTATGAATATACCATTAGATCCAGCATTACTAGTGGTAGCTCTAAAGTGATAGTTTGACAAAAATCAAATTTGACTTCATTTAGGGTAAGGACAAAATTTGTGCAATCATGTTTGGTGTCTGAAGTTTCTTTGTTTGGTTTTGCATTGGAGCTAATGAGGCTAAAATAGCTAACAGTGGAATGTTATGTACACCAATTAGCAAGATGCAAACCGCAGGCCTAAATCGTCACACACTTATCTCAAGTGGACTTGCTTGTTTCTAACATTAATAATTAAGGGGAAAATAGACAGAATTCAGACTTCAAGTGGGCTGCTATTACTGTTTTTAACTGTCTGATAGTAATTTGTCTTCTTTTATCGATGTTGTGTAAGCTTCTGTTTCTTTTTAGCCTTATTAGTCTCACATTTCCAGCACCAAAATAAAGAAGCAGTCTTAACACTAAACATGCCTTGGCTGATTGACTACGTTTGGCATAGGGGGAAGATTGTAAATCAGAATTTTCATAGAGCTATTGCTTCAGATAATTCGCAGAAGTTCCACCTCTTACTCTAATCTCTGATTCTCAGGTAACCGCTTGGAATTCTCAGCCTCAGCACGGCGGCAGATTATGGAAGTGATGAACACTCCTAGGACCCAGCAGCACATGCTGGATTTGGAATGCTCACAGGATTCAGACTTGGAACTAGAATGTGGAGAAGAGCGCAGTGACACATGGGTCTTCCCTCTTGTCCAGATGAAGCCTTTGGGCATCCGACTAGATGAGGAAGTAACACAGAGACTGTTGAGGGAGGCAGGTGGAGACACAGTTTACTTGACTTCAGGTTACTTCAACCTGACACGAACCTACATGAAACTGGTGTTGGGAACTGCAGCAGATTACCGCATCCTCATGGCCTCACCAGAGGTCAACGGGTTCTTTGGGGCCAAGGGGGTGGCAGGCGCCATTCCTGAAGCCTACGTTCACCTTGCGCACCAGTTCTACAGAAAGGTGAGCAAGCCTTTTGATTTATTTGGCAATAACCATTCATCTAGAAACATGTTTATAGTTCTTATAATAAAATGTGGTACTGCTTCTGTTTTTTGTGAAGGTATGTGACCTAGGTCAACAGGGTCGTGTCCACCTACATGAGTATCATCGCTCTGACTGGACTTTCCATGCCAAGGGTGAGTAGTATTGACAGTTCACCCTTTGTTTACGCCATCACCTTAAATACACTGAATTATTGGAGGCACTGTGGTGCCAAGCTCCCAATAAACCCTGTAAGGGAAACTTCAGGATACCTGGAAAACTAATTTTAAGGAACTGAGTAGGTTTCCCAGCATCTCTTGTCTGATGGGTTAGCCTCTGATCCTTTCCCGCTCTGCTTTAGGCCACTGAGGCTGCCAGACACTTGTAATGTTTTCTCTGTAAACCAAAGGAATGCACAGACCAGATTCTTTGGCTTTTGCTGACATCTGAGGCATGTCAGCGTTTCTGTTCAGGGCTGTCAATTAAGACAAATTGAAAACTCCAGGAGAACCAAAAACAACAATATTAACTTGGTCTTCATTCTGTTCCTGTTGTTTTTCGTGAAATGGATATATGGAGTGATAGATTTAATAAACAGTTTCAAGGACTTAATAATACTTAATACTTATTCATACTGTTTGTACAAAATGGACACAAAAACACCATTTGTACACCATTTGTTTCCTGACCTAGAGATGAGCTGGAGAGAGGGAGCAGGCCAGGGAGGGGAGAGACTAGAATAGAGCAAGGAGCGAGAGCAAGAGAGCTGAAGTTCAGTAAATATGGGCAGCATCAGTGGAATTCAATTTCACGCTCCCGTTGAGAAGTCCCGCTTATTAGATAAAGCCCTGTCAATGCCGTCATTTCTAGTAAACAGAGGAGCAGAAGTGGGAATAGACGGGGTGCAGAGGTCCCCTCGGTCAAGCAAGAAAAAGAATCAATGACCATTAGCTGGCATTCTGACGCTGGCCCTCAGCCTACAAGGGACCTATTCACCCCAGGCAAGAGACAATGAGCTGGTCTAAGTGAGGGTGACTGACTGATTGAGTGAGTGAGCGATGGACAGAGGGAGGCAGGGGGAGAGACAGAGAAAGTATGTTCATGATGTAACTCCTTTAACTAAAATGTTTTGAAATTGAGTCTTATAGTTCAGGCACTGAGTAAACTCCTTCAGTTACCACAAAGGCATTGGGGATGCATGATTGACAGTTCCTTGTACATACAAGGAAGTCCCAAAGAATAAGTGCAGAGTGTCTTCCCGTCAGTGTTGCCTGATGATCTGCATCCATCACAAAAGAATGTTACCTGAGGGTAAAATGCTACTCACTGTGACACATTTTATGTAGCACTAATTAAAGACCTTTGTTTGAAGTATTACATCATAGTTTGGCTCTTTCTTTTTTTAATCTTGTAATTTTGAGGATATGAAGTACTCCAAAGTCCACCCTGTCTGTACTGACAGCTGAGTCCCTGCCTCTGAACTGAAGGCATGGAAGGATCTGTTTGTCCCAAAATGCCAAGATATCATATTTCATGTTCAGGGTTTCCTGTAAGAGCTGAATGGAGGCCACATGTCATTGAGCTCGCAAACCCTGGGCCAGCTACGAAATGTGGCCAAATTGAAATAATGCTATTTAAGCTGGGCAACGTTCACACAGACTCTTGTATTTACAAATACTTTCGCTTTCCTAAGGAAACCACAACTAACCTAGTTTGAATGTCCACAGCACATCTGACAACATATTTCTTTGAAATGCTGCTCCATACTAATTGACTTGATTGGAAAAGTGTTTGTGTGTGTTGGTACAGAATGGGAACTGTTTGTCTGTTGCGAGTATGACTGTTCTTCCCTTCAAGAATGTTTTTCTTTTTCCTCTTCTTATTTTTTCACCAGCCTCAATAAGCCTCTTCTTTCCTCACAGGACTGTGGTACTACCTGGAAGGAAAACACCACCCCTGCCTCACTCTTATTGGCTCTCCCAATTTTGGTTATCGCTCTGTTCACAGGGATTTAGAGGCTCAGATTGCCATAGTAACAGAAAATGAGGAGCTCCAGGCCCATTTGCAAAAGGTTAGAATCACTCTTATATAATAAAATCTGCACATTCATTTGAGCTCAAACCTTTATGGACATTATATCTTAAGTAATCATATGTCTGATATTATATTGCAAGCCCACACCACCTTTCCCTTAGTTTTTATGTTGGACAGTGTTAGTAAGCCCATTGTATGCGCAATATTTACTCTTTAGTATATCATCAGGCCAAGGGCACGTGATCTTTCTGGGAAACCCATGCATGAGTGGTAATAAAGTCTAAGTAACCATAAATAGGTTCAGAGGCTCACTAACTCTACCGATGACTTAAAGTTCCTGTCAGTCCTTATCAGATAAAGGTTACATAAGCTTATAGCAAGGGCAATAAAGCCATGGCCTCTGATGGTCATCAAATGTGAACATTCTAAATTATGTGTAGAGTAAAGATAAATTGTTGAGTACAAGCTCCAAGCCTCAAAGTTTAAAAAAAAATGTTGTTGTTTCTAAGTATGACTGACATACATTGCAAAAGGGCTTCTACTATACAATGGTCAGAATGGCAGAGAAAAAACACATTAGTAAAATGCTATACTGTGCATTTTGTTATTTGTTATAGATTATTTTAAGGATCTTGGTTGTTTGCTAGAATGATGTGAGGGGATTTAAATTTTTCATACATAATTACTTTGATTCATGCAAACAATGCCGGGAAACTGATCCAAATTTAATACAGATTATTAGACGTGCAACTGCTTTCTTTCTTCTTCAGGAGCAAGAGATGTTGTACCAGAGGTCCACAGAGGTTTCAGGCTCCACCTTTAAGCAGCCTAATCGCTATGTTAAGTTATGGGTGAAGCTGGTCACTCCTCTCATTAAGAACTTCTTCTGAGAATCCACATGCCTGAGTTTCTGATCTTCTTACAATCCATACCAGGTTGGTTAATCTAATACTGAGGTACTGCGACATGCAAGACCCCCTGACCTGCACCCTTTTATAAAACAATTGATTTGGTTCAAAAAGAGCATAAAACATGACTGATGAACCTACTTATGTTTTTGCTGAAAGCCTGAAAACTAGGCATACTTCAACAGTCAATATTCAGGCTCCATGTAAAATGTCCTACATAAATTTGATATCAATGTAAAATTTCATAATATGTCAACATCAATATTTGATAGTTTTAAAGAAACCAAAAGCCCCCTTCTATGAGAGTGATGCTCACACAAACAGCAATCAGCATTTTGTTTTTTGGGTTTGTCTGTCCAGTTTGTTTTTTTCTTTGCACATGTAGAGTTTCCATGAATATGCATACACAAAAAACCCCAAGCTGCCAGACAGTGGGTTCTTAAGAATGCGCAGTGTCACTGTAGTGGTTCCTCCAGCCTAAATCCCATGTCATAGCTGAGTGTAGAACTAGCATGGCCAGACCACAGCACGAATTTGGCCATGCGCTATTCCAGTGCTGTCAGGTTTTAGCCTCTGCACTGCACTAGCATTGACCTCTTTCAGCTAACATCTGGAGCTTTTTACAGCTGTTTTGTGTCTGCAATATATCACTTACATGTAGCCTATATCTCAGATGCAGTGTATATATACTTTTAGATTTCTATATTATACCCATAGTAATATATATTTAGTGATACAAGTTACAAAAAGTAGTAACACTAAGAACTGAAAATGAGTTTTTAATGCTTAAGATTAATTAAAAATTAGTAGTTGTACAGCTGCAGCCTTATTTGCTTACAATGACATGCCTTACTAAAAGTTACAAATGCTTTATTACTTGCTGTTGGTCTGGTAGCTGTGCTGTCCTAATCCTTTTAGACCTCAGTGCTACCTTCTATACTATTGATGACAACATTTTTATTGATCACATGGTTGGCCTATGTGGGACAGGTTTAGACTAGAAGTCTTACCTGTGTCATAGGACCTTCTCAGTTAATATTGACAATTGCTTTTCGCCTCCTGCTACCATTGGCTACGAAGTCCCCCAGGGTTCTATATTAGGGCCTGTCCTACATGCTTCCTTACATGCTTCCTTTGTGTAATGTTATTCAGAAACCTCACATTTCTTTTCTTTTTTACGCCGATGACACCCAACTCTATCTCCCTTCTCAGCCCAACAACATCTCATTAGTGTCTCAGTGAGCGTCTGGCGGATATTAAAAGCTGGACGGTTCCTTACAACTAAATGAAGAAAAAACAGATGTCATGCATTTTTCTTCTTTCAAGACTGGAAAAAAAAGTCATTTGTGCTTTATTTCATCGTATCCAGGCTATTGCAATTCCTTGTAAGTTGGACTTAAGTCATTGTTAACTCGCCTTTTATTTAATACACAATCCGGCTGGCAAACTGCTTACAGGCACCAAGAAAAGGGACCAGGTTACCCTGGTTTCAGCCACTGCGCTGGCTCCCTGTCCATTACAGGATTCTATTATTCTATTATCCTATTCTTTTAATAGTTTTAAAGCTCTTAATGGATTAGCTCTTCCTACATTGCAGACTTGCTTCACCCTTCTCTGCTCCTAGGTCTCTGAGGTGTTCAGACCAGCTCCACAGTTTTGATTGAAGCTTAAAGGTTGACCGTGCTTTTATGGTTGCTGTTCCACTGCTATGGAAAAGCCTTCCCCTAAATATGAGGAGTGTCTAAATACCGTCTTTAAATCAAGACTTACAACTCTTTTACATAAGCCTTAGGAATTCTTAATATTTTTTATTATATTTTACTTTGTATCTATTTTCTGTATCTTAATATGTTAAAAAGTCTTATATATGTACAGTACTGGTCATTTTAATTATTTATGTTGTTTAAACATGCTTTATGAAAAAAAAATACTCTCTTTATGCTATTAGAACCCCCTTCTGAATGTATTTGCTGTGCATGACAATGGTAAAGTCCATAAAGTATTTATTTTTTTCACTGCCTAGTGTCTCTGCACTGCTCTAGGCACTGAGAAGCAGGCATACTGCAGTGGGCTCCCTCTTACTTGTTCTTTCTTTAGTTTTCAGGTTAGAGGTCCAAACAAGGATGGGCCCTCGCATGTGTGTCTTGTACACAGGGCACTCATATACATTCTTGTTCTCCTGGCGGTCCACAAGGATAGCTTTAATGAAGATGACGGGCATGGCAGGCATCTACTCCTTTAAACGGGCATTCGCAATCACACCTGACTGAGTGTCCCAGCGAGCTCCTGTGAAAATATTTTTACAACAAAGATTTACTTTATTTCCACCGTGTAAACCAAAGAGCACAGTCGAAGATGCAGTCCAGATGGGCTGCAGCACTGAATTTAGTACTTTCCCTGTAATGTCAGAGTGACTTGACAATGAACAGATGAGTTGAATCAGCTGAGAGGAGCAGGGTAAGCACTAAGACTGTGCAGTACTCATACAGTCCAGGACTGAGTTTGGACATCCCTGCTTCATTCAGAAATGCCCCAGTGTGGTGGTGATCTCTGAAGCTAACCTAACTTCCACTGTGTGTTATTGTTCATAGGTGTGTGTGTACATTTGGCATGTCCTTGGCTAATGGATGTGCATATGAAGGCAAGATGGGTCACACTTGTAATTTTCATAGAAATTTCTAATTTTTGTTCTTTTAAAGTCAGCATATTTATGAAAAGATTCAGTGTGAGAAGTGGAGACTGTTTAGGCTCTGCTGAGCTGAGAAATAAGAAAGTGTTATAACCCTGTTACTGTCACCACTTCTTTCCTATGCACTGGTTGTTTGGTACACATCTGATGAAAATGTATGTAATACCTCAAAGAACAGACGGTATGTCCGAATGTCAGTGTTATCGTTTTGTTTTCATGTGTTTCAAATGTGAGAAAAGCTGTGCAGTTTTATTAAATTGAAAGGGTTGAATAAGGAGGTGCATTTAAATCATTACATCTATAAGCTGTAAAGAAAGCAGTAAGTACAGCCTTAACGTACTTTTATGCTCTTATTCTTGTATTCCGTGACTGTGTAATTGCTTCCAGGCCTGGATGTTGAATTTAGGCACTTCATCTGAAAAAGCATGAAGTTTGAGGTGTAAATGTTATCCATCACAACTACCTACAACATAGACTGAGCAAACTTCAAAGACTGGCCAAGCTTTGCAAGTCCAAAGGAGGAAAAAAACTCCTAGAACACTCCCAGCCCTAAAAGGAAGTTCAGCACCTTTGACTTAATGTGAGGCTGTAACGTGCTGATGTGTAAGCTATTACACAAGGTCTGTCCAGTCTTATCCACAAAGGGCCTGTGTGGCTGCAGATTTTCATTTCAACAGTGCAGAAGATCACCTGATGAGATCTTTGAAGACTGAGACAATTAAGCAAGTAGAGTCAGCTGTGCTCCAGCTTGTTTGGAGTGAAAACCTGCAAACACACCAGCCCTTTGCAGATAAAATTGGACACCCCTGTATTACACTGTTATGACAGTGTGTAAAGAATTGTCATTTAAGGATCAGTTTACAAATGTTTGAATATTTATTTAGTTTTTTTTATTTTGAAAGCCTAGCTGTATCGAACATTTGCCTGTTTGTTGAAAGACTGGATCCAGTAAGAGGGTTTTTAAAATCTCATTTAAAGTTGCTTTTTTTTCTTCTTCTTTGTTTTAGTGAGTCAGAGTTTGTTTGAGGGAGACCAATATGTAAGTGAGCAATGTGCTGGAGAGCCATGAATCTGTGCAAGTCTATAGCAACTGGTTTAATGTTCTACTTGAAGCCTTGTCTTAGGCCAACTGGTCTAAGAATTTCAGCCTTGAAAGTCATATTTCATTCTTCATGCAGTATATGATTAGATGTACTAGGTTTTCGTAGTAAAACTGTGTTTTGGTTCACTAGCTGCTGTTTTGAAAAAATTAAAAAATAAAGGTTTGGTAATCACTTTGTGTGTTATTCAGTCTACACCCCACTGTGATAGGGTCCTAACAACAAACAGTATACATTCCTATCATTTCAGGAAAACATGCATCTCACCTTCCATAAAATTGCTGTAGATAAAAGCACCCTCTCTCGATGGACTGATAGTATTTTCCCAAAACTTTTTAATTACCTCAGCAACCAGACACATCGTATCTAAAGGCCATCAGTTTTCCCTGACTATGGACTGTATGATTGTAGTGGGGAAGGACTGGGGGTTGAAAAAGTTAGCCAGCCAAAACTGTAGCAAGCATGGCAAAGTCAGCTGTCCATGTTTCCAATTCCTGTAGACACAAAAAGTAGATAGTAAAGCAAGTGAATTCAACTGCACATGACATTGCAGCCATTTTTTTGGTGGGGGAGCACCCAGGCCAGAGGGGTATACAAGTTTTGTCATTGACTCTAGATCCGTATCCAATAACGGGGCTCTTCCGTGTCTGTAGTGATGGTTAACTGTTCCTGAAAAACAGGAACATTGGAATCCTACAGTGTTTTTAAAAACTATGACCATGGTTAATGTTCATTCCATCTCTTGTCAAACCATTTTGTATGCTTCCCTCAAAAGAGAAAGCACTAACCTTTGGACCTAAATTGAGTTCGCTCAATGATCCTGAAATTTTATTGATAAATTAATACAGCAGTAAGATGCAATCCATACAGGTTTATGTATTGTTATTATGATAAATTACATCATTATGTCACAATGTGATTTTCTGAGCATGTACTGGATATCGGGCAAACTTAAAGAACACTGAACAACTGTGCCTTTTGTTACAACAGCATAATTACTCTTGATGGATTGGATTTAGTGCAGTGCAGTATATGAAACCACTGTATTCATAGTTTTTGGTAGTATGTTTTAAATGTGGCACTCCTGGTTCTGTTTTGTCTGTTACAGCATAGAAAAATTAAACATCAGGACATTTTTTGTGAAAATGTCTTGTGTATTGTGTCTCAGATTTCTGTAAAGCGCTTATTTGTACCATTACAATTCATAATATACCCCTTTAAAGTTGGTAAAGGAAAACTGGGAGCAAGGTGCAGTTCCCTTTCTATGTCATCCTCCAGATAGGTCCTACCCATCAGTGTCCATCATGCATGATATCACCAAACATGTAGTGTAGATCATCCCATGGAACCTAACATAGGAACAACAGAAATATCATGCAGTATAATCTGGGTTCCAGTTAGATCATATCTAATAATTCTGGGTTCTAGTACATCATTCCCCAATTAATTTGAACAATGTGTTTTGTCACATCTTTTACCTTTGAGTTGGTCTCTAGGTGGTTGTAGAGCACATTGATAGAGATGGTCAGATCTCCATTGTTAGACCTGTTGCATCTCTCAGCCATAGCTGCATAGATCTAACACAGAGCGAAAGTATAATATAATAGTAAAATAAAAATAATAGGCATAAATTTTCAAAAAATGAAATTACACAACATGGAATTGGTTACTTGGTGAGTAGTTCCTAAAAATGACATGCCTGCAATGCCCTCTGCTGGTAGATACCTGTCCCTTCACTGCTGCCTGGCGTAAAGCAGCCTCAGCTACCACCTCCTGGCCCTGGCTCAGACACATATTGTAGTTCTTTGTGTTATCAAAGGTGAAGCCCATCTTCTTACCTGTAAGTATGGGAATATATATATATATATATATATATATATATATATATATATATATATATGTGTGTGTGTGTGTGTGTGTGTGTGTAAAATATGTATATATGTATATGTATATATATATATATATATATATATATATATATATATATATATATATATGTGTGTGTGTGTGTTGTCCAAAGAAAACCTCGTATCTCCAAAATGGTAACTTTACAGGAAACAGAAAAAACCTACTTTACTTTTAATGTAAGTCAATGGAAGTCATTTTGAGCTGTTTCTCTTGGTCCATTCTTCATGAAATTTACTCACAATGTGAAGGTCAACAGGCAATTTTCAGATTATGTCAAAAACTGAAGGTTGAAAAAACTGAGGTTTTCTTCCAACAGCAGTGATAGCACATAACGGTCTGGTCTCATATATCTCATCATACACGGTTCCTGTAAGCTACTCTTGTTCTTCCACTCCTGGGGAAACGTTTCCATCTCTGGAGCCTCAGATTCCACAAACGTCTTCCAGGACTTGGCTGCTCCTTCTACATCTCTGTCCAGGTTCTTAAACTCTTCCATTTCAGCCAAAACCTACAATACACAAGTCAAAGCAGTTCTTCATTTAATCTCTCATTCTCAGTGATGGTGTTTTGTTTATTGTGAGTATGTGGAAAAGCCCCTTATAATGAAATGAACGATTAATCTCTCTTTTAACATTCTCAAGTAAGTTTTAGAAGATTTACTAACAAAATAATGAAATAAAGAAAAGAAAGTATGAAAAGTCTTTTAGCCACCAAGTCAGAGAAGCTTTTAAAATGTGAAATAACATATCTAAATCTTAAGCAAGTAATTAATTTACTTATCAATCTCAATATGTTGTGAATATCTATTATTATTTATCTTATGTGTCCCACAGAATTCTAAAAACCATTTATTTCCAAGACAAGTTTTTGTGGTGAATTTCACAAGTGGTCAGAAAAATCCTTTCACCACATTCACTCAAATATGTCAAACTAAAAGACTTGCCTCAAAACTCACAATAACAAACAAAAAGATGTATATTTATTGTATATCATTCACAGGTAATACCAGGCCTGCTTTGATCTCTTTCCTCATGACCAATATCTATGAAACAATAAAGAGGTTAATAGTAAATTGTAAAAGTACTCCTTTGAAATATATCCACATACTTGGAAAGTGATCTGAGTGATAAATGTAAATTTCTCCTTCTCAGACAAGCAGTGGTTGGTATACATCACATGTCAGGCTCCAGTCCTCACGAGCCAAACCCCTGCAGACTTCAGCATGCTGATTCAGCGTTAGACGAGGGTAAACATTAATATCCGCAGCACTTTGGCCTAGAAGGCCCCCAGTTTGACATGACTCGTTTACAAAAAGACAGAGTAAGTTCTCATTGATTAGGTTGTTGACAAGTTGTTTCACATCCTCCATTGGTTCAGTATGTGAAACACACCAGACTAAATGTCTAAAATATTGACACATAAGTCAATGACTTACTTGTCTATTCAATGTCTTCATTTGCTCAGCCTTCTAGAGGAAGAAAGTAAAGGTCTCAGAACAATGGACTGACCACCCCAGAGCCCAGACCTCAACATCATTTAATGTGCCAGGATTACTTGGATTGTGAGAAGCAGAAAACACAACCAACTTCTAAGACTGAACTTTGGAGGTGTGAAAAACATCCTTCTAAGAAGGGGGTCCAGCACAGGCTCTACAATCTCACTAATGTTTTCAACCAACAGTCCTTCTCTGGATAGATCATTTTCTAAACAGTCAACCTATCTGAAGTATCAAATGAACAAAGGTTGTTTAAATGCCTTTGCAAAACACTATATGCTGTCAAGGTTCATTTCTCAGCATTTACGACAAAGACCCTGCCTGAAGTTGGCCAGTCTTACTAACTAGGCATGTGTGAATTTTCACAGAATGAAGGTGTATCTAAGAGCCACGTCACAAAGTGACAAAAAAGGGTCTCTCAGCAATATTGCAGAGTATCACATGACAGATACAGTCATAAATTTCCACAATGCATGATTGGTTGGACTGTCCATTGTCTCAGAAGTGCAAAACACACAGCCAAGATTTGTTCACCATTGGAGATTTAGCACCCTGTCTGAGATGGACATGTTGGAATCAAACACTAGCCATTTGACTTGCCCGAGAAAGGGATATTAGGCCTCATTAAATTTGCTCAGTATGCACTGTTACCTTTAGTTCCTTGAGGTAAGGCAACCAATATCTCCATGAGATCTGTGTGGCACTTCTTCTGTGAACTATCCGATATGTAACACTAAAGCTGGAATGGACATTACTGCTGCACTTCTTCTGTGAACTATCCGATATGTAACACTAAAACTGGAATGGACATCACTGCTGCACTTCTTCTGTGAACTATCCGATGTGTAACACTAAAGCTGGAATGGACATCACTCGGTGGGTCTTCTCCTGAATTTTCAACTATGCCAGTGATTCTGACCACTGTATCCTCTCAGCTAAATCTCCAAAAAGCCTTAAAGAAACTTTACAGATGCCAAAGTCTTACTAAGAAGAAAGAAAAGAGGCTGAATAAAATTTAGAGAATGATGTGCATTAATCATATTACACAGTAATTTGAATTACTGTGGTAATAGGTACTTTATTTGTTGGCAAGATATATAATCTTATTAGTAGCATTTATCTTGTGGCTAAAACACTATTCAAATAAACTTTGTAAAGTAGGAATTTATATATATCCATAATCCAAAAGCTGTGCATCACCTAGTTGTAGCATTAATAGCTGATTTTACTGTTGTATATAAAGGGGCTGAAAAGCTATTGCAATTCCAAGTACAGCACTGACTGAATGACATTCCTTTGGAATGAATACCCTTTACTGCCCAACACTTAACACTGGATTTACAAGGTAAAGGTATCAATCCGATTAGCAGTATGTTACTTTATTTCTGTAAATGTCTATTTTGGTTTAAGTCTGGTCTCAAGAATTGGTGATTATAATCTTATTAGTAGCATCAGCTTTCTAATGACACTACAGTTTGTCAGCTGTTGTTTTCTCAAACACATATGTCTGTTTGCTAAATTGGTATTAAGATACTACATGGGCCACATACATGAATTGTAGGAAAAATAGTGTGTAATATAGAATTTGTGTTGAGCATTTTCTTTGTGAATATTGTGCTGTACCACTGAACAGCATATTGCTTACCACAATTTAGTTCTTAATAACAGATAGTTTGTCCTGGGCTGCAGCCAGCTGAGCACTGGCCTGGGCTAAGGCCTGTCTCCTGGGCTCAATATCACAGTAAACTGCATAGTACTTCACAATATTGAGTCACCATGAGTGGAGTTCAGCAGCAGCTATGGACTTAGAGTGGAAGAAATCTGGCTCAAACTGAAGGTCATTCTTGAGGGGTCTTGGCAAGCGTATAAGGAAAAATACAACTAAAATAAAAGTTAGGACAGCATGTGAAATGTAGATAAAAAACAAAAAGCAGTGTTTTATAAATCTACTTTGACCTGTATTTGAACAAAAACAGTACAAAGACAAGATACTGAATGTTACATGAATAATGTAAAATGTCCCAAAAAACATCTTAAATAGGTGATGCATTCATGCTTGCATAGAAAACAAGCATCCAGGAAAGGCCTAATCCTTTATGAGTGAGGATGGGTCAGGGCTCACTGCGTCGCCAAAAATGTATCAGCAAAACGTTTAAAAATTATTCTCCTCAGCATGCTATTGCAGGGATTTCAGATATTTAACCCTATATGGTGACTAATATCAGCACTTTAAGCAAATCTGTGTGTAATGGGCAATATCGAAAATCACAATTGATTGCCTGTGACCTTCAACCCCTCAGACGGCATTGCATTAAAAACCAGCATGCTTACATAATAGGACCCTTGTCAATAAACACAACTGTCACTGCATCTACAAATGGAAGTTAATACTGTACTATGCACAGCAGAAGCCATATATCAACAACATCCAGAAACGCTGCCGACTTCTCTGGGCTAAAGCTCATCTGAAGTGGACTGATGCGCAGTGGAAACATGTTTGCCTTCTAGACAACGTCTTTTTCAGGGACGTCCATGCTTATTTCAACATGACAATGCCAAGCCACATTCTGGATGTATTACAATATCATGGCTGCATAATCAAGACTGGTCTTCTCTTCCAGAACTGTGTCTCACTGAAAATGTGCAAATTACAACAATATAGAACCCGCATGGTTGTACAGCTGAAGACTGAAGAATGAACGGCAAAAAAATATGCTCCCAAAACTGGATCAGTTTATGTCTGCAGTTCCCAAACAATTAAGTGGGGTTTAAAGGAAAGGTGATGTGACACAGTGGTAAACCTAATCCTGTCTCACGTTTTTGGAATGTTTTACAGGCATCAAATTTGGAATGAGTGTATATTTACAAAAAACAATGAAGTACCTAAGGTAAAACATAAAATACTATGTTTTTAAACCCTTCAATTTAATACAACAAACAGACAAACAGATTTTACTAATCACTACTTAATGTTTTTATCAGCATATTACATACTGCCCTAGTATTTTTTGGAATTGGGTTTGTGTGGGGAAAAAAAAGTTGTAAGAAATCAAGGTACACAGTAAAAAAGCACAAGCACTTGCTGGAAAGCTTTGATGTATACATCAGGTATGTTCACTGTAGTCGATCAAACTATCAAGAAAAGCATCCACTTTGGCCGTCATGTTTTTGGCAGCTTTACACCTTTTGTCTTTGGGAATTTTGCCACCTGGAGCAAAAAGAATCATTACAGCTGCAGACAATTCTCTGCAACCATCTTTCAGACACCTGTTTTGTGCTTTTACTTTAGCCTTTCAGAAAAATTGCGTTGTAAGCATAAAAATGACTGTTGATACCTACCATAGGTCTTATGGTACATCAGGACATGGATGTCTGAATGACCATTCTTTTATTTGGCGTCCACAAAATATGGCTATTTAAAATCAAATAGCTTATTTCACCATCACTACTGCCACCAAGCTGCACCATGAACAACTGAATTAAGTGATGTATGTAATGCAGTCAATAATATTAATACCACTACTACTACTACTACTAATAATAATAATAATAATAATAATAGTAATAGTAATAATAATAATAATAATAACACCGCTAATAATGATTAGGTATTGCAATACATCTAAAATCCAAAGACTAGGCGTCCTTACTGCCCCCAGCTGCACCAAACACAGCTGATTTAACTTGTATGTAACACAGTTGAAATCCAACTGAAATTCAAATTAAAAAATTCAAACACTATAAATTATTATATCCAAAATCCAACAGTTGTGCATTCTTACTGCCTCCTAGTTGCACCGTTCACAGTTCATTTCAGTGTTGTATGTAATGCTACAGTAATGCTATTGAAATTCAAACTGGGGTAAAAAATAATACAAAGGTCATCTCATCACTGCCACGTAGTTGCACCCTCTATAGCATATTTTTAGCATTGTATGTAATGTGGCTAAAACACTATTCAAATAAACTTTGTAAAGTAGGAATTTATATATATCCATAATCCAAAAGCTGTGCATCACCTAGTTGTAGCATTAATAGCTGATTTTACTGTTGTATATAAAGGGGCTGAAAAGCTATTGCAATTCCAAGTACAGCACTGACTGAATGACATTCCTTTGGAATGAATACCCTTTACTGCCCAACACTTAACACTGGATTTACAAGGTAAAGGTATCAATCCGATTAGCAGTATGTTACTTTATTTCTGTAAATGTCTATTTTGGTTTAAGTCTGGTCTCAAGAATTGGTGATTTTACATTCAGAAACTATGCAGAACCTGCAGCAGGGCTCACTATTCTATAGCGTTCTATGTATTTTCATGTAGCCCAGGGTTTCTTGGGGGACCAGAATGCAATGTTTATAGTGAGCCAAGGGCCAAAAAGACAAAACAATATACAAATAAAGAAGATAGGTAACATTACACTATATTGTGTTAGTAAAATGTTTCAAAAATGTAATTTCAGAAGAAAAAAAAAACCTTTGTTGGCACCTCAAACTGGGGACCATCCAGGCGAAAGTGCTGCGGTCTACCCTCATCTAACTCCAAATTCAGTTCATGAAGGCCTTGCTAACTAGTGGATGAGCTGAATCAGGTGTGTTTAATCTTTACGGGTCAACTGTTGCCTGTGGCCCAAACTTTGGGCAACCCTGCTGTGATTCTACAACTCCCAGAAGAACAATTTGATATTGAAAGTGTCTCTATAGTAGGACATCATACAACTGATAAAACCCAATATTAAAACACTATAAGCAGCCAGTAACAAATGCGGATATCACTGGCAATCAACATGTTTTTTCTAACATTAACTATTAACTGTTTTGTTTTGGTTTTTTGCAATGTACCAGTTTTATTTCAGCACAAGATTACATGGCAATGGTGAAAATCCAACAGCAAATGAACGTTCCTCTCAAACCCATACTTTTATACAAACATACAAACCAACACACATTCTGACAAAAAAAATTCTTTATACAGCATTGATAAATTAAATTGTATTTTAACATGGCCTTTTATCAGTGCACTTGAACAAAAAAAAAAATACACACTATGGCTTACACATTGAAATATCTTGTACTGAGCGACATCCACACCAACAACATGGCTAAGAAATTCAACAAAAATTCAACAAAGCATTATTTCATATAATACATCTTAGGGAAAATAAACATACTTTGAATCAGTGGTTTTCTTCATCCATCTCAGATCAAAAGTCATTTTAGATTTCCAGTCTACAAGATGTGCTCCAAAGTATGTAAATGGACCATGACAAACTAAAACAAAAACAGAAATATGCTAGTTCCTTCAATGCCTACTGCAACATCCACATGGAAGGATCAGGCTGCTGTTACAAGGTTCTTATTTCATCAAGCTGGTATAGAAATCTATAATGTAATGCAGGCAAACAAAAATGTTTTGGCAGATATGAGAAAATGCAAATGTCTCCCCCAAAACAAAAAATAAAATAATTCTTGTTTGAAAAAGCTGCAGAAAATCAAAGCAAAAAGTACTGCAAGCCAAAAGTCACTTGAATGTAGTTATGGAAGCTGAAAAATACAGAAATGCAGAAAAGGTTTTTCAGATACCTCAGAGGTTGTGTAAAAATAAGTGTACGTTTCCTTCATCTATACATGTATCAAAGAAAACTGAAAGGAAGGTTTATCTCCGTAGCTAGGATATAAAACAGATGCCACATTCAGTCAGACCTGCTGAGTTGAGATGATATATATATTTTAAAGCTCCAAACAGGAATCCACAAAATAGTGCCCAACAGCAGCTTTGAGTTTTTTCCAATTCACTGCAGAGTAAACAAGCATATTTTACATGCATTTTCTTACATGTTTGTCGTTCAAAATCCCCTGTTGTACAGTGCCGTAAAACTAACCTGCCAGCTGCACCAAGTGCACCTGATTCAGGCTCTGTTTGTGCATGTGCTCCACGTTCACATCAGAAGCACAGAAGGAGTCCTGATAAACATGTTCATGAGAACAATTCATGAAAACAGACTTATGGCTCAGACAAACTCTCAGTGCGGTTAACTTATTCTCAAAATACCAGGGCGTTCCTGAGGAGGAAATGTCCAGTTTAGGCTTATGGCTTTTGGGTTTAAATTGTCCACTTCCCAAACCACAGGCCCGTTTTCAGGTCCATAGTTAAATGTTCTTTGTTCAACCTTAAGAAAATATATATGAGGTCCAAAGTCTGTAAGAGATCTACGGCCTCTTTATAGATGACACCTTCTTCTTCCTGGCCGCGAGCATTTCATAGAAAGGGTCTCTGCTGATAGCAGCTCTGATGAGAGAGCAGAAATAAGTTATTTTACAAACACCGCAAGACTCATAGCCACACAAAAAAAATTATATATCATTTTGTGATAGAAACATTAGCATGAATAAGTGAAGTCACTCACATTTGATGTCAGTTAACAATCCAATTTTAGTTGGCCATTTTCACTTACATTTTATAAGCATTACATGAATGAAGGTCAATATATTTCAGTCTAGACTGAAGTGCTGAGAAGACTACTCACTTGATACTGTTGATCCACTCCTCTTTTTCCTCAATGGTTGGTGCTGAGATTCTGTAAAACGTGTGGTTCCCCTCCACCACCCGCCCATCTGCCTCAGTCTTGCAGGCCTTGATCACTTGATCCTTATTGTCTGGGATGAAGAGCTCAAAACAGTTCTGTAAAGAATCATTGACAGCACTCAGAGAAAACAGCAACAGATGCCCAAAGATGGACACAGGTATGCAATAGAAAAAGCGGTACATATGAAAAAGCACAGAGGGCAATCGTACTGGTTTCTTTGAATCCTCTACTTCTCTAATGCTGAGATTTTCCAGAGGAATGATCCCTCTTGGTTCTTTATCCTAAAAACACAATTAATAATGAGTTTAAGCATCACTCAGTAACATACTCAATTATTTTATCCCCTAAATTTGAGCTTACTTACTGTGGTGTATTCAAAGTAGTAGAGACAATTGTCAGTCAAAATGAACCACCTTCTTTTCCACGTTTTTACTCTGCCACCTGTAAAACAGGTAATCAAGTCAGCAAATAAATGTTATGGCACAGTCACAGCTTGTGTAAGAAACTGGGTTAACTTATGGGAGAGCAGACGAGACGACAGCAGCGGAGAAATGCAGCAGGATGAGGTTGGGGCACTGCAGCAGACAGACGTGTATGGTTAAGTCACATTAGTGGATGGGCATTTAAAATGATTCACTTTGCATCTCACTTAAAACTTCCAAAACAAAAAAATAAATGAATAAATACATAATCGCACAGAATCAATATGATGAGATCAAAGACAATGACCAAGGAAGAATGGGGAATGTCAATGTGAATTACACATTAATTAAAGTTAATGTTTGCTTGAGAAAACCACTGGGCTCTTTACAACTCAATGTAAAAATCAATCCCCAGGTCATACTTACATTGAGGTCAAAGTATAAGACAAATCAATCCTGTGTTCACTGCTGAAGGGTCTGAACAATTCTACAATGATATCAGGGCATGCTTTCACATGTGACAAGGTTGCCAAGACTAAAAAACCATACAGATGTCCCAACGTCAATCACAATGGCACAAGCAAACACAGCACTTGAAAACAGTAAAGATTCTTTTGTGGCAGTAAAAGCAGCATTGTTGGGCTAGTATTAAACCCACACACAAATCAGACCCTCTTATTTTTGCTCTCTGTCCTTCTCAAGCAAATCCATGGCAACTGAGCAAAATAATTGGCATAACAGCACTTCAAGCAGTTTTGCTCTAGATGCAGCATCTCAAACATGTTACTTCTTCCCTAGGCAAGTTAAGATTAAGTTACTTGAATTACTAAGAGACCATGCTTCATGAAAGAGCCCCACAGATGTGAAGACAAAAATACTGCACTTTCTGGAAAAGCTCAAAGGTCTAAACTCCATGGCAACAGAGGGAGCACACTAATACAGGACCTCACGCAACACAAGCACTGCAGAAATGTGCAGGAAACGCCACATATCAGCGCAACAACTCAGCTTAATGGAACAAACAAGAAATGAGATCAAAAGTAAGAAAACATTTCATTTTATAAAATGAAATACAGGTTAAAATAAATTAAATGGACAAAAGGAATAGATAATGAGAGCAAGGCACACCACAAAAAGCACCCAGAAGCGTAGCTTATTGGCGAATGTGGGAAGAACCAGTGTACATACCTCCTGAAGCAAGAGAACATGAAAAAACAAAATAAAAAGGAAAAGGAAAGGAACAATAAAATTAAATATGAAAATCATAATAAATCATTGATATTTTTAACAAAGCAGCATTTATGTTGCACAATGTAAAAAATAAAAAGCATTGACTGATAAAGTAACACTTGCAGCTTTTGCACTTCTACACATGTCCACCAGATGGCACAATCACTATATTTTCATGCTCTGATTTAGTCAGTTCTACATTTTATCACGAGGGGTGTCTTTGTATGTCTACTGAGGTAAATGCTGGCCTAAGACCCACTAAGAGTAAAGACTCACTGGCATGTCTGCTAAGCAGAGGAATTAGATCAGCCATTTCAGAACAGTTTTAAGATTGCTCTGCTACACTTTAAATCATTCGCAGCTGCCCTATGCATCACTAGACATCAGTGTGGTTTAAGTGAATCAATTCATCTCCAAATTCACAACTTTTTAACTGATATGAAAGACTTTTGTATACATGTGGTATTCCATCTTAGCAAGAAGTTACATACAAAACATAAACCACTCATACTCAACACTAAAGATGTAATTAACTGATTACGAGCTTCAAAAAAAATTGTTTATTAGACTGTTTTTCATTTGCAAAAAACAACAGTTCCTATGGAAAAAGGCAGTGTTACAAATCAAGTTGAGGAATGTTTTGAATTGTAGGCATGGGGGCGCAATAGGCAATTGGTTCTGCGATGGCACAACTACATTGAAGTACCACGTAGAAAGCAATAAGACCAACAACTATTTCGCCTACATTCCCAGAGAGAAAGTGTGATACACAGCGGTGAGAGGAAATCACACATGGGAGCGCAAAATTAGAGAAGGACGTGCGGGAGGAGTGGTGACTGCTTAAAGACTGAGATACTGAGCCAAAGCTAGCCCGATGCATGCCATTGATGTTTGTTTTAACTTGGCCCAATAATGAGTGGTAACTATAACTTCAAAACATAAAAGTATAAAAGTCTCAGTAGCCCATCCATACATGTTTCAGTCATTTTGTCAACTTTTTAAGTTTCTGGTCATATAGTCAACATATTATATAACACAGACATATATATACACAGCATATGACATATGATATTATAACATAACATAATATAGTTGTCAGTCCCTTACGTAGGGCATGTTTAATACAGTTTTGGGCCATTTACCTCATATACACGCTTATGCCTGCTCCCATCCATGAGTACTTCAGTCAAAAAAATGTTTTAATTTATTGGTACATTACTACAGCATTCAGATTGTGTGCTCACTCATAAGTGTGCGTTTATTAAGTATTTACAGCTACATTTACTAAGTATTCACAGATATCTGTTTTATAATTTTTATTTTGATGGATAACGTCCTGGATGTTAGGCCTTCTGGTTCATGATTAATTGCTGATTAATAATGGTTACTGGTCAAAAGAATTTGCCACAATGTGCATCCCTACTCAGAGCTTAACACTGGTGTTGGTCATGAAGGCAGTTTCTATGATATATTATTCATACTCCTTTTGGGTGGTAGAAATCGCCTTTGGATCTCTATTGGGAAGATATGAGCTGGTCCCTCTTACTCTTAGCTTTCCCCTGCCTCAAAGAGAACAGCACTGCCTGCTCACCTAGTTTCAGAAGCCAACCCTCACGGTCCGGGTTAAAGAACGTGTGTGTGAGGTCATTGCCATCGTCCTCTGGTATCTTAAAGGGCTCATTCCTGATACTCTCATACAGGTTCTGTAGGCATAGATGAGTGGAAGAAAAGACATCATACACATAAATCCTATACTATGAAGACAAGAAACGGAGGTATCAGCTGTAAAACAATATGTAAAATCAATTTCTTGATTCTTCATGTCTCAAATGGAGGCTATGGTACATCTGTAGCCTTATACATTTAAACATGTGGTAAAATGAACCAGGAAAAAGGCAAACATTGTACCACAGTAAGGTACTGACCCTAAGTAGGTCCTCTGGTAGGTCTCCCCCATCGTTGATGCCTCTGTTCATAGAAATGAAGCGCTCTGCTGAAGGCTTGTCCTTTACATTAGGGTTGTGCAGGCTGGTATTCAACATGATGATGGCAAATGAAAGAACATAGCAGGTATCTACAGAGAAAAGTGACAGACAAGATTTAAAGCAGTGGTATCCACATCCTTCCTTTCAAACTGAGTGGACGGTGCATATATTAAGCCATATTTACCACAGTGTTAAAACCCAAAAAATTAATGAACATGAATCTACTAACACAATGCCCGCTCAGTGTTTAAAGACCTTTAAAATGCAAATGTGGGTGAATGTGAAAAGCCAAATGACAGTCAGCACTGCAGCAGACCCAAGTTCTATAAACACTTCAATTCTCAGAAAAGGTCAACATCTGAGACTATTTTAAATATGCAAGCACATTAGCCAGGATAAGAGCACGATACTAATGGTAAGGAGCAGAAGGGCAAGCCTGTGTATGAGTAACTGTGTGAGTGGGTGTGAAGAGAGTGTAGAGGGAGGTATGGGGCTTACAAAAGAAATTATTCAGGAATGAAAAGATGAATAAGTAGTCAAGAATCACATGAAACAACTACCACAACTACCATTATCTAAGTACATACTCACCTGTAGACTGAAAGACTCCAGGGTTGCACTGACAGTAACGCTGGGCAAAAGCCTCCATCATGCGATCTATCTTCTGAGCTTCACCTGGTAACCGGAAGCTCCACAAGAACTGTCTTCAAGGTGCAATGAAGGCAAATATACTTACTGAGATTATTCTAACAGCAATGTGATATTAATGTAATGAAAATTATAGTATTAAATAGAGTCTCATTTACATAATGTAGTTTGCCATATCTCCAACTAATTCACTTCTAATATCTGCCTTATTTAGTTGTCATTGTGGATTCCAGTACTTAAAGCAGTTTCTTAACTCTGCCCTCAGAGAGTCTTAGACAGTCCACATTTCTGCTCTATCCCACACCTGAGCCATTTAGCCATTTTTTTTTGCTTTGCTGATAATACTAAGATATGAGTTGAACATAAAACACTAAATCCAGAGAGACTGTATCTCTGATGTAAAGATGAACTATCTGCTCATTTCTACAATATCAAACTTTTTAACTGACACTGATTGTGAGATTGTCAAGCTTTCACAATATAGTGCAACATTTAACTGGCCCAGGGGCAGAAAGATGTTTAACAGTGGTTAATGTTTATTAATCACTAATTAATTAATAGATTTCTGATTAAAAACTAAAACTAAAAATCTACAAGCTTTCTCACAGACTACGTGAAAAGCAGGCATCATCTCATTCTTTACCAACAATACTCCCAGTAATGTCTTCTCATAGTCAGCACTGACAGTGTCTTAGGTGAGGACTTACCTTAGGGCCTGGACCAGGTTGAGGTCTGTGAATTCATGAAGTTCCACAAAGGCATGAAGTACTTCAATATTGAACTCATCTCTGGATACAAGAAGACAGAAGATTTTTAAATAAACTGCTAGGATAAATATGCTATTGGTAACAGAAATGCATGCCCATTACAGTAGGAATCTCAGAACAAGTGGTTACTCCTGAACTAACTACTAAATTTCTTCACTAAAGAAAGAGGATGGAAAGTGACAGACTAAGCACAGAATGAAAGCCCAGTAGACAATGAGAGAAAGAACTGGTGCAATTATGCCCTTTGATTATTTGCAAACAGTCAAGTCAAATGTCTCGACAGTGTGAAATTTTTCTCAGGCAAGTGAAGAATCTGCTAAAGAAATAATGACTGCGTACTCCACATCTAACAAAGAAACAGCTTAAAAAAACCCTTTTGTAGCTTCAAAATATTACATCAAAAATTCATACAGGAGTGACTAATGTGAGATAATTCTAAGGTTATCATGTTACTTCTACTCAGAGATGGGTCATCTTAATCGGATTCAGGAACTGTAAAGGAAGACAGTCAGCTTTGGGATTGGTGTCCATGGGTTACCAACACCTTCCTCAAAGCCTCAAATGAGAAAAGAAAATGGAACAGGTCGATAATATCACTGTGCTGTGAATACATTAACCTACTTTGAGATTACGACCATTTAACTTGCCCACACCCTACCCCCTTCCCACTTATTCTTTCATCATAGCACTACAGCTGAACAGGGCTTTACAGTAACCATGTGTATGTAAGTCCTAAGGGAAATGGAGAGAGTCATCGAGAGAGATCCAAAGGATCTACTAGCCGGGGTTGGTCTTGTTCTACCAAGAAAAATTAGGTACAAACTTTGAAGAATATTGGTATGAGCTCAGGAGTGATATTACAGATATTCAGAATCTCATGAAAGGTAAAAGGACCTTGATAAGACAAACTATATATCAAACAAAAAGGAACTGGAAATAAAAAATGCTGTCACATACACAGAACTAGAGTCCAGCTTCAACAAATCTGATCATTTGGTGCTGATAACCCATATATGTCTGTATCATGTTACATCACTGTATGACCCACCAGCATTTAAAAGTCTAAGAGAATTAAAATATATTTGTGCTGTACAGTCTGATGCAAGAACAGCCACCAGAAAACAGAAATTATGAGTTTTATATGTCAACTTGACAATGTTGAATTACTCCAGTGTTTGAGCAGTATTAAATAACGTTACTGTTTACTGGGCAAAAGTTGCGTAAACTAATCAAACTGATCATCACACACATAACCCTGCAGCTGGTCTACACAGTTCACTGGCTCATCTACCTAAACGCTAGCTAACTAAGGCAACATGATCATTTTTTTCATTTATTTATAGTTAATTTCACATCATCTCAAAAGTGAAGATATGGGTTTTTGTGTGACAGCGACAATATGAATCAAAACCAATTACTCTTGTTTTTGATTATATCACTTTAACAGTATCAATTAACATCAATATCAATATCAATTAACATCAATTTTCAGTACTAATGTTCACTATCTTTTAATTCTTCACCCTTGCTCTCCCATTGGAAAGCAGTAGAAGACGGTCATTAATATAGCCACTGCAAGAAAAAGGTCATGTGACAAACAGGTGAACAGAGCTATGAAAAACCTGTATTAGAGCTGTAATCCAAACCACAGCACTTTAGTAGGGGCGCTGGCCATCTTGATTAAAATAGATCATGGCTTTCTGTGAGGACAAGCTTATGACAGATGATGTCATTCTTCCTTGGGCATGGACCCTAGGAACAGTAAGACTGATCTCACCACCAACCAGCCAACTGCTTTGCACAGTATAAATGGCAAAGTAACCCATTCTGCAGTAAACTGTTTTATTGATTTTTTATTGTAAGAAGTTCATAAATTATTATGAATTATTAAGTTTATGATTTCTGACAAATTACCTCCTTGATGTTCAGCACAGCAAGTCTTATCTGTCAAAGTGAATCATATTAACTTTGCTCCTTTGATAAAGGGAAAAAAAATATGCTTTGATGTCGCTCAGAGGTCAGGTAACACGTGCACCATTAAAAAAACCGAAATGTCTCCATCAATTGAAACTGCAGTGGATGTAGCATCAATACACATCAGTATGGTGGCCAAGTTCCTTTATATTGTAAACCTTGGGGAATACCTTTAAAGTACTAACAGCATTTGTGTTACAAGAATGTGACATTTTAGAGCAACTTCACAAGAACCCACCAGAAAGCAAGTTGAGGAATCATGTTATTCTCACCTTTCACCTAGATAATCCCCAATGGCTGTCTTGTTGAGGCCCTCACCCTTATAAAGGAACTGAGCAATGTCCTCACAGGTATTCTTCAGTAGGTCATTCTCTATGAGGAATTGGATCCCCTACAAAGAGACACACACAGACCACAGTCAGTAATAACATTCCAAACTAGTTCTGAATGGCTCATTGGTCACTACCAGAGCACTAACACACTTCTTGCTAATAAAAAAAGCTAAAAGATATTTAAAAATGAACCTGTACTTCTGTTTGAGGGTTGTGCTGGGTGTACCGATATAACACAAAAATGATGTGGACACTATTATGTGCATCATAATTTAAGCAGGTCATCTACACAGTGAAAGTCAAAGTTTAAAGGAAAAAAGTGACCAGCCATGTGATGTAAAAGGTCATTTATTCCAGAGGTGGCAGGTATTCAATTATACAGCTGAACTCTGACTCTCTAGATCATTTATATGGAAAGGACTCCACTAGATAGAAGCAAAAGGACATTCACAGGGTCAAACACAAAGGCAGACAAAAGGAGTATAATGAGTGAGATCCACAGACACAGTATACCTTTTTAGGATCCATGTTGAATTTCTTTCGGCCCATGGCCACCTGTTTATTCCTCTGCATGTTTTTCCTGTGAATATGAAGGTACAAGGGCAATATCAGTGATACATTTCTTTATCACATTCTGTGTGGAGGGATAAAGCTGGCAAAGTGCAGAGAGCCATGGCAATACAAACCCAATAAATGCAGCCTCAATCATCTGCCTGTCGCAGCTTCCTACCAAACCTATTACCTCATAACCTTAAAAGCTTAGTGGATGAGCACACAATGAGCATCACTCTGAGTAGTGAGGAACAGCTGAGCTACTGAAGAGTAGAAAGCTCCATTACAGACATGCTAAAGGTACTACACATTACTGTAACACTCAACAGAGACTAAAATGTGTGGGGGGTGTCCGTGGGGATGATAACAGAGGAGCAGGAACAATAACAGTAGAATGCAGGGAGATTAAATGATGAGCTGAACGGCTCCTTTCCATTTTAATTTGCCTGGGTAGGAGCTTCATAAGGCAGACAGACTAGTCCTTGAATCACAATCATCAGGCCCCTCTTCAGCATAAGTATTAATTGTTTTGGAAAAAGTGGTAATTAAGCCACCAGAATAAAGTAAAATACTACAGGGATGACATTTAATTTGACTTCTTAATAAGAAAATTATAAAGCTCATGAATGGTTAGACTACACAGGCTATACATTAAATGTCACTGAAATTTAACAAACTCCACAAAGTTCTTGGGCGAAATTATCTGATTTATATGCGGATCCATCTAAACATACATTACACTTCCAACCTATAGACTGTGCAGTCTCAGGATCAGTAGTTTAACTGATCTGCAATAATTGTTCAGTAAACCAAAACTGATTCTGGGTAGGCATCATGACAGGGGTGTCCAATCTTATCCACAAAGAGACAGTGTTGCTTGGGGGTTTTCTTCCAATAAAACAGGAGCATGCATGATCAGTTGTTGAAGACTCAGACCAACTGATTAAACAAGTAGAATCAGGTATGTCCCACTTTCTTGGAATGAAAACCTGCAGCCACATCGCAGCCACACCGGCCCTTTGTGGATAAGATTATAATGCTGCAGTCTGAGCGTTCACATCCACTGACTGCTAATGGATCACATTTTGTTTTGATGTATGGATCTGATGAGTCAATGCAGCGTATGGAAGGATTCAGACAGTACTGGATGGCTTTAAACTGGGATAATGTTATATGGAACATAGTCAATGATATAACAAACCGTGGGATCTCATCGTTCTATGACAAAGTGAGCAGGATACAATTTTTGCATAAAACGTGGCCAATAAGACAAGCCTCAGACATTTCTCTTAGCTAAGGGAAACACTGAGGGGCTTACTACAGTGGCTGATATGTTGCTGTAGTAAAATTCCATCGGATGCATGACGGCGTTCTCTCATTAATGGAACTTATTATTACCAGCTAACCTAGTTAAATACTGAAACATAATTCTGCTGATGTGCTGCTCCTGCCAACTGTTTAACTTAATGGTCAATAAAGCGCTTCTTCCACTTGGTGGACAATTCTACACAGAAAGAACAGGAGCAAGAAAAACATCCCCCACAATGGACTGTAAAGTCCACTGAAAATGCTTCTTTCTTGCTTTGAATACAAAAAACAAAGTAAAAGAACAGTAAATTTTACCAATTGATTCAAGCAAGTATATTTTATTACTACTTGACTTGTTCTGCGTGGCTGTTTTGCATGTCAGTTAATCCCTGGCCAAGTTTAACTTGCGCAAGTATATATTCTCCTCTTCAAATGCCTCCAAAACTCAACCACATCTTCAAATTCCCAAATTCCCAATAATCTTGAGTTAACATTTTCCTTATCTTAATTTATCGACATAACATAACTTAATAACTTCAACATAATAAACTTCATGCAACACGAGGGACTATTTAAGGGAAATTTGATACTTGTAGCTACACTACGTAAGTTTTGGGATTTTGGAGATGTCTCTGGAGGTGCAATTGCATGCAACATGTGGAAGAACATTTAGTAACGTAGGTTACGCTTCGGACCCTTGATTTTGCATTTGAGACCTAAACATTCAGGCCTGCACTTGTGACAAATACGTAAAGACACATGACGTGGTCAGACAAACACCGACCCGACACCTCCAATTTTAAAATGAATATTTTTTCGCACGGGCTACTTCTTTCACATTTATCCAAAGAGTCTTATACATGCAGCTTTATGGAAAAATCTAAGTGTGTGTATGATGATTTCACTAAAGGAAGCCCGAGGTACCCATTAAGGTTTTTTTGTAACACACTTAAGCTGAAAAAATATTTAAAGACAATGTTGGGGTAATCTTGAAGACGGTTTATGCAACCAGGCACAGGTTTTTAAAGGCTTAAAATCTGGACCCAAATTTACTTACAGAAGGTAGACAGTGAAGGCATGCACTGTTCAGACAGCTGCCCCCCTCAAAACCTCCAGCCCGTCGACCCCAATTACTCCACTTCTATCCAAAACAGCCCTGTATAATTCAGCAGAATCCCCTCACACAGGGGACACAGTCATTAAACATTTACACAGGGGTGTGAGTGGGTGTCTGTGTGTGTCTCTGTATGAGAAAGTGAATCTATGTATGTGTGTGTGTCTATAACAGACAGATAGCAGACAGCAGTTTGAGATGTTCATTACTGTTTAATGGAGAGAGAACTTTATGGCTCATGCCTGTCTGTACCTCGGATTGTGTTATGATTCCAGAACAGAGCCACTGATGTCACCCACATCACAGGAAAAAAAAACAAAACAACAACAAAAAAAAAGTCCAAAATACACAGAACACTGACCTTTCTTCAGTGGATCCCAGGTTCTCAATCTCATTCGTCACCTCTGCTATCTCATCCTTCAGCCGCTGAACAACAAAAAAAGAGAAGGATAGACAAAAGTGGACAGGTGAACCAAAACGACCTGATCTTCTTTGTAATCTGACAAGGAATGTTAAGGAACGATGGAGGGCTATGCAAGTGTTATTATCATTGAATTAAAATATGCAAGCTTTATAATTATTCAGGCATTTCAACAAGTCTGCTCCAGTCTGGCTCTTACATTGAATATGAAGGGTTTGAAAAGGATGAAGAAGTGGGGGAAGGGGGAAAGACTGGAAGGAAAGAGACAAAGGCAGAGAGAGAGACGCTGTGATTTCAAAAGAGAAAAGCAATCCTGAGGAATCCTTTCATCTCCAATAAGAGGCCGCTGATACAGTAGCTGACAAAAAGGGGTGGGGAGGGTCAGAGACTTGCTGCTATCCCATCATCTGCAAGTCATCTTGTAGGTCCCAGTAGGTCAAGTGGTCAACCTTTGATTCTCCACACATACACACATGGGTGACCAAATAGGTGGTCTAAAAATAAAAACATGCTCTGGTAGATCCTCTCTCTTGCACAGACAAGGGTCAGTGATCAAAAGAACAACGTGTCTTTCACATGAGCCTGGGCCAGGAGTTAGGGTTGTGTAATTATGTCTACAGTTTGGGCTGCTGCATGTTCTTTTATGTACATAAACATGTAAGGTGACTGTGTATGTACAAGTGTGTAAGACAATTTGGTCGCAGTGATATGCTGATAAACCTGCTCAAGCAACGACAGCATCAGGTAAGGAAAAAACTGTTGATGTATCATTTAGTTAAAATTAAAGGCAGGCTACAATGCTCTATAATGTTCATATGATACATGTAATTCTGACAGACTGTAATACACTACAGGACAGACTGGGGGCGATACCACTTCTGTTATGTTGCACCATAAAAGGAGAAACTGCTTGTCATACAGACTAAATAATTGCTGTAGCAGGGACAAAGAACAGAAACAACAGAAGCCAAAAGGGTTAGATTACTTCTCAGAATGGATCGATTGGATTGAGCCGACTGACAAGCGTAATGTGAATCACCAAAAGATCATACAAATGTGTTCATCGCAACTGCCAAGTTGGATGATTTAGAGGTCAGAAACTGTGCTGTGCAGGGCTTTAGGATGACCTATTTCATAGAATTCGATGGAGTCATGAAGAAGACCACATTGCCATGTTGGTAGGGAAGCTGTAACTCTGACTGTGCTCCAATAGAGCTCAGCTCATCATGGTTACTGTAGCTACAACCCTGCAGGTGGCTGAAGACCAAAAGCAAAACAGCAATATAAAATCATAATGACCACGAAAAACATGAAAAGATATGTGGACAATTTAGATGGAGTCTCCAGAAAATGCTACAAGGAGAAGATTAGCTAAATTGGTGGACTGGATCCATATAGCCTGCGTATCTTCAGAGTTCCAAAAAATTCCAATCCCTAAGACTGTACAAAAACTAATAAAAGTGGCTACCAAAGATAGTAATCTCCCACACACACATAAAGCTGAAGTTAGCTCCTTATTTGCCTGCATCTCATCTGAATTTTCTGTTCCACCTTAAATGGTGCTTAAATTACAAAAGTTGGCGAACATGAAGCTAACATCAGCTTACATGAATAGATGCATTGATTTACCTCAATAAATGCACCCCTAATCAACAAATACCTTAATTGTTCGCTTGGAAATGTTTAATGGGAAGCTAACATGCAGCACAGTTAAGCAACTTTTGAACACGTCTCGCTGGCTGAAATAATGTCACGTCCCAAACCACACACTTCTGTACTTTACCTACTACACATGGTATATGCACTATTATTACACACTACTTAGTGTGCTAGTATGTGATTTTGGGATGGGGCACACCAGCGGAAAATCTCAGCCATTTAGATTTCATCTTTCATTTGTTATCACTACAGCAACCAATCAAATAAAATCAAGGCAATACACTCCAAAATATCAGTTGATACACTTTAAAAATGAGATTTAAAAAAGTGATTAAAAAAAGGAAAAAAAAAAGTGTTTTACTGCCTTTACTGGATAGTTTTGGCTTTATCACATTACAAACCACCAAAGCACTGCTGAACTTGATGCTGCCTACCAAAATGGTGGCAGTGTGTCTGTGACTTCATTGGAGTACTATCAAAACTATCAAATGTCTTTGATTTTTTTTAAATGTTTTCTTTTATTGTGTAGTAATGTATGTCCATCCATGTCAGTTTAAAAAGCTAAAGCCACAATAACAGTGGCCCATAGACTGACTTTACAGTAAGCTTTAGCCATTTTATTTTTAACAGGAGGCAAATTATAGGCTGTAATTGTGCAATTTATAAAACCTATAGGAAAAACTACCAAGCCTTTCTAAGAAGTACCAAACCAAACGCAAGAATAAAGCTAGCTTACAAGTTTCTGTGCAGAAATTCAGGCATGCTTATTTTCTCAGATTTATGCAGGTTTCTGTGTTGTGTTATCATATAAGCTGCTGTGCTGAAACAGGTTATTGGAGAAAGGAGCTGCAGAAAGGAGCAGCCTGTCTGTCAACACTCAGCTTTCAGGAAACATGCTCACACATCGTATTGGTAGTATAGGAAAGTGGAGCAGTTTTTTTGGCTCTTTCTGACGATCTTGTCGCTCATCAATGGCAATGGCCATGTTCAGGCAACAGTTTATTGCACACAATCTCACAAGCCTATTTAATTATAGAAATAATTGTTAGTTGCAGGCCTTTAAACCTAACCTGTCAACTCTATGTTATGTTTAATACACTGTAACTCCCACTGAAATTTGTCAGTGGGTAACCCTCAGGAACTTACAGACCTTCAGACATGACCTAATGATTTCTGTAACAAAATAAAATGGTATAACTTAGTTCAGTTTTATTTTATATAGTCAATATGCTCATTTATTTCAATTTGGCAAGTATTATAATAATACTCTTTTTTTTCCTTTTGCTAAGTTTCGGTTGGAAACAAAACATTTACTTTCATGAAGGACTTCAAGAGCTGAACTAAAGGCACAGCAGATTAACCACAAACATAATTAAGAACTGTGTTTTCCACATACAGCCCCAGCCTATTTTTAAATATTGTATACATTTTTTTCATAGATACCATTCATGCACTTACTCTCCATGTTTGCAGCCACTGCTTTATAGCCACACTGCTTAGATTAGCAATCTATCATCTTCCAGCAGCAGAGGCTTAGATCAATGCTGCTCATATTACAAATCCATCAAGCACACACACACACACACACACACACACACACACACACACACACACAGACACATTTGCTCTTCCAGTGTCTCTTGCATTAACAGTTCATCTCTCTTGAGCACTGTACCCTGTGAGGTCAGACCAGCACCCTCTTAACACCTGACCTGGCCCAGTTATTGCTAAGCTCTTCCCCTCCTCCAGTGTGTGTGACCCAGAAACTTCACTTCAGGGTAAGGGTACAGTAGTAGAGGATTCTCCTTACGTACAACAGAGGGCAACAGATACATACTTCTGATAATCATAAAGACTCCTGATTTGAATGGAGGAGCACACATACTGGATTATGATGTCTGTGCAATCATAGCACAAAAGAAAGCTTTACAGCTCTCTCCAGACAGTAAAACTAATCATCTGACAGAAATACACCCTTAACCCTTATACAGGGTAATTATCGCTGGCAATATAAGCATCGTGTAATCTGACAATATTTCTCAGTCATATCTCACTGAAACAAGCAGAGATATTGTGATGAAAATGCAGTTCTTAAACTTGAAATTTGTGCTCTAATTAGTCATGTTTTAACAAGCAAAGCAACCATAAAAAGTGCAAACTCTAACCTATCAATACAGAACAAAAAACTGAATGTAATGTAATTCATTATGTAACTATTTATTAATTAAGATTAGTCTTATCGCATTTATTGTCTCATCTGCTCAAGTTTTATCCTGAACATGAACATGAAACTCACATGAATGCAGGGTGAACATGACAATAAGAGGAACGCAGTTTCCACTTTTCATCACCAACATTCATTAAGAGCAACAGCGGGTGCAGGCTCTCTGCAACTGCCAGCCTCTTGCTCTGATAACACAATGTTACATCTGGTTTTGAGGGAAAATGTAGCTTCCACTTTGCTTTTGTTTTGATTCTGGTTCTTTTCTCTCTTGCAAACACCGTCCAGTGCAGTCTGACATTGCTGCATCAGCGGTGTATGATGCTTGTAAGCGATGCTTGACGTCCTTCGGTGATTTTAAAATAAATAAAAAAATAAAGACATCACGGTAGGGTCAAACTAGGAAAAAGCGTTCATGGCATTAACAATCTTTGTGCTGCTATTAATTGATATCTGTTAAATTTGACATTATGTACTCACTAAAGTAAAGATTACAGAGAAGAGACAAACACACAAACATTTATACTGATCAGTGGCCTCCCTAACTCACTCAAAATCAAGCACTTAATGACCCACAGAGGCCATATCACATATACAACATCGAACAGCTCCAGTTAACCCTAATTGGAATGACAGCAGTACTGAACACCATCAACAACTAACAGTGTGGGTAAACCCAACAGTAATCATGGCTTATGACAACTAGAACAGACTCACTCAGAGTCTGACAGCTACTAGTTCAATGGGCAACAACAAAAGCCATTTAGTGCAGACAGCCTGCCACTGATTCCCAACCTGACCTGCTATTGTAGCAGGACCCAAAGGAGTGCCTTGAGAACAGTGAGACAATTACTTACACATGAAGCAAATGCTGCATGTGCTTTACCAACCATTGTGCTTCATGAAAGTGAGAAGCAGAGTCAGACAAAACCACTAAGTAGGAAATGTGAAAATTATTTATTAATATAACATTAAAAATTGCTATTCATTTTTTCAGTATATCTGCCCTTAGTAATGCTGGCTCTGTGGTATGACCAGTAAACACTGACTAAAAGATATGAGGTCTGTCAAGCAAGTTGCCCAAGGAAACCCTGCCCGTTCCAGGTCAGAGTGCAGTCTAAGGGTGAGCAGGCTGCCCTCTAGGAGCATCACATGGCTCATCAAGCAAAAGCACACCAAGTTCTAGCAGTACTCTGAATAAGCTCAGCCTGAAGGTCTGACTTCACTCCAGTGCTCTGCCCAGTTCATTACCCCACCATACAAGAACTCCACACAAGAGCAAGGCACACCAAGAGCTGGTGATGTTTTAATGAACAATATCTCACTTATTCCTCTCTCACTGTTTGGATGGAACATAACCATGCTATATCACATATTCTGTTCACACGCTCCTCTTGTAGCTCATCATAAGGTTTCATGTGATTTTGTGCTCTGAGAGTTGTTATGACATCTTTGTTTTGTGGAAAAACAGTTGATAAAGCTGAGCTTTCATCATCTCTGTTTCATCAACAGAATTCCTCAAATGGTTTTGTGATCTTTCCTAATGCTGCTGTGAACATGGCCTGCATACCAGGGATGTTCAGAACTGTCATGTGGATAAAGTGAAAGAGACTGTGCAAGTGAATGGAAAGATGCAGTGTTACAGGTAGGGGTTAAACTGGGCTAGAATGCACCAAAGCTCCAGTATCTTTGGTTTGTGTGAATGGCAAATGGAGAGGAGCTGTAAAGCCGGACCTACGCTACATAACTTTTAAAATTTTAACAGATTTGGAAAATGGAGAGCATCACATGGAGAGCATCACACACTTATCGTCCGTCTTTAATAGAATTTCCTGTTATTTTGTCGTGAGGGCCTTTACGCTAGACAACACGGCAAAAGAGGATACAACACACATAACTAGCTTCAGATATGAAAAGCACTCAAAGTCCCACATCTCCCGTGATGCAAGCAAAGCTAAACTGGACCAGACCTGTTGGTACAGGATAGCAAAAATGCAAACTAGGAATGAAAATGGGGTTGCATTGCAGATATTAAAGTCAGAGCTGGAGAGATATTAATACAAACTGGTTGCTGACTTGCAATTGTAAAGAGAGATTATTTGAACTTATAAAGCAGCTCTTCTGAAAAATGAAAAATCGCTTCAGATTGTGACAATTTGTTGGAAAGGGCCAATCGGGGTTAAAATTGGGCTAAAAATCGTGTAACGTAAGCCCAGCTTAATTTTACTGAAATATAATTAATTTTGAATATAGTGTTTGTGAAATCCATTTAATTATCCAATGTGGTAAACCACACAGGCAGATAAACCTTTAAACATTTCAACGAACACTCCCTCAAAATTTGACTTTCACAGTCATGTGAGTACATACTGAATCCTTTCTGCTGTTTTAACTTAAACTAAAATACTAGAGATGCACATTCAGAATCTGCAGATTTGTTCAAAGCACAAAATCAGCCCTCGAACAATTCATTGTTTATATTTTGGCAGATTTGTGTTGCAACTTTTTGGTGTAAATAACGTGAGCCTGGTAAGTGCACTCGCACTGTATTTGAATTCTGCTGCTACACTTACAACAAAATGTTGACGCATAATTATTCATTACTCGTTGTGCTAACCAGCCATACTTTCTATGTACCACGTTATTTGATTCATGTTCTTAAAAAGGCAACTAATTACGATTGAAATAATGTAAAGTCAGTTTGACCCATTAAAGTGCAATAATGTTATTCATATTGCACATCTGGCTAACAAAGTACTGGAATTGTGTTAGTATGTTTCATGTATCCATTTACCCCAGTGTGAACTTTGGATTTAAATAAAGGCTAATAAACAGTAAATCTGCCAGTTAAGAAGTCACAATCAGCCATAAAAACGGTGCATACCTATATCATCACTAAATAAATTTGTAAATCATGCTTTAACCTTTATGTAGCTATTTCCATTAGATTATTAGATTATTATTTTCCATTATTTATCCGAAGTAAATCCAAATCGTTTTGTCACAAAGCTTATGACTAAGGAAGCTAAATCAAATATTTGCTTATACAGTTGCCTTCTTCCTCGTAACTATTATGTTTAGTCTACTGTTTCGCCATCTGAAGTCCCAGTTTAACCCCTGGTTATAGGATAAGATGAAAGAGAAAGAGAAAGCGTAGACAAACAGACATAAAAACATCCTTATGGAACTGTCTGATTCACAGTGTTTGTTTCCCAGTAATAAGCAATGCACTAAAGATGCATTAGTGTTTATTGATCCCTCTAAAAAGTGCCAGAGGTATGTAGGCTGGACAATGTGTAGGTGAAAAGATGCAACTCTCCCGCTGCATTCAGCTTGTCCTTGGGCAATCAGGGAATGATGGATGACTCCATCGGGACTCCAAAGGGTGAACAGCTAACAACTAGGTCCAAATCAAAAGGTATGCCACCAAAATTCTGTTAACGTTTACTCAATTGATTAAGTCATTTAAAGAAACGAAGACGAGGTCAAATGGTCCAAGCATGGAGAGGATCAATGATCGGAATTCCAAATGCATAACACAATCAGTATAATTGAATTTGCAACACCATCTGCTCCAAACTACATAGTCCTCCCCAAAAGCCAACCTAACACAGTCTTTTTACTAGTGAGGGATGTGCATGGTCTGCCTTTTTACCCAGTATGCCTTTTGCTTCATGACTCACTGAAGTGCACACCTAGACACAAGAACAACTTAGCAGTCATCTTTCAAACCATCTTACCCAGTGTTGTAACAAAGTTGAGGTAGAAGGCAATAAGGTCACATGTCCCCCTGTGAGATTGGTGGAATTAATTAGGGTAACTGAAATGAGCATCTAACATTTTAAAAAGAGAACAATACATCACCCTCTCGCCCACAAGATCTCCACTCAGGCACCAAAATGACTTCTCAAGTCCACTTCACAGGCTATTTAAAAACAGGTGTAGTATCCTCACCTGGATATCCTCAAGCAGCTCCTGTTTACGCCGCCGTATGTTCTCCAGCTCCTGCTTCTCCTCTGGGGTCAGGTCATCCGGCACTGGGTGGAAGGAAGAGAGAATTTTGAGCATGTGGCAAACAGACTGAGCTTTAGACAACAGGTCCTCAAATCCGGATCCTGAATCCAGTTTCTGCTCCTGTATTCTGTATTCACTAATAGTCAAATGTGCTGTTGATGTCACTGACTGGATACCTAGCATCAAATCTACCAGTAACTGCAAAATCTGGGACTAGAAACTGGATTCAAGGTCCGAATTTAAAGACCTCTGCTTTAGACTATACATTCTACTTGGAACACATCTATTGTCTGAACTGCAAGGAATGCATCTGTAACACGTTTTGCAAAGTAGAGAAGAAGTGGAGCTGATATTTATGGGTGGTGTTAGGTGCAGGAAGTTTGACGCTTCACACACATCACACTAAATGGATAGAATGAAGAAATTAGCACTTATTGCGCTTCTTTTTGGAGGTGAAAGACAGGCAGAAAAAGTCCAGCACGTTTCATTTTTCCTACTCCACACATGTGAACAAAGCCAAGTGCCCTGAACACCTCAACTAGCAACTTTTTATATGTATTTCTACATTAAAGTATCACCAAGCTACAGTGGTGAGGGGTACTTGTCTTGTTTCTCAAGGTCTTTTAGCAAAGCTCAATAATAACAATATGCTGGACGGTACATAAGCCAGTGAAATAATATTTACCTTTTAGATGAATATTTTTTTAAATTGCAAAACTGTTGTACTGAATTTATAATGGCGAGATACAAGTGAGATACTGAGATAAGAATATTTTGGAGCATTCTGTCGAATAGAAAAGATCCAAAATTACTGGAATACAATCTTGCTACATTTACATACATGTTTTATGTCCTTCTTATACAAAGTTAACCCCTCAAAGATACCTTTTTTCCCACAAAAGGGACAATCAGTGTGTAGACATACACAGCAGAGTAGCAACCCACATGCATTTTGTTTAAGACTGATATTGAATAAAGATCACATAGTCTTGTTGCCTTCTCTCAATAATTCATTTAAAAGACCAGGCAGGCAGAGAGGGAACAGAAATAAGTGTTGATAGTGATGTGGATGCAATTGTGATATAAAAAGAAGACAGAAAGAGAGCCTGAGGCACAGCAGCGCCTGTAAACCCCACATACACTCAGAATCGTCTTTCCCAGGCAATCAATAACCAGGAGAAACAGTGGCGTCAGAAGATGGGCCTTTGATTAGGAGTATCAGGATACTGCCTAGGGAGCCCATTTTTATGTTCAGCACAAATGCAAATTTGGCATCAAACCCATGGCACATACTCTAAAGCTGAACCTCACAGAAGCATTCCTGCACTACATATCACATTAACATATTTCAAGGCTTTATTTGTGGATTTCTTTTTTAAAAAGATACTTACATCATCTGGGGCAGACTAGCCACTCTGAATCATAGCCAACCGCAATGGTCAGCAGTTCTGATCTACTGTGGAGAGCCTTGATGTAGGGCAACTTACACACACTGTATATTTTATAAGGACTCTGAATCCATAAAGGCATATATTAAGCTGCCGCAATTTCATTTAAGTGCTTTGCTGAAGGGCACTAAAGTGATGTCCACACCTGGGCTGAATGCCAGCATCTCTCAGATCAGCCAGAGAAAGCCAGTACAAACCAGACCAAAAAACAGTTAACACAGTGCTATGACCATTGTGAAATAAACAGCCACATATCTTTCTAAATTTTCCAGGACAGTGAAAATCAAATCACACTCACTGTAAGAATTCCATGTCTACTTGACCAAGCAGGGCTTACTGGCTACTTTATTAAAGTTCAAATATCACAAATACCATATTTTCCAGTTCCAGTTACCACGACCACTCCACACCACAAGTAAATTTACAAATAATGTTTCACTATGTTTCACTGCCATTAACTGCAGGTCTAGAAGCTCCAGACTCCATGTTTGAAGAGGTAGCTTCATCTTACAGATGAAAAACCTTTACATTGTAGTTTAGTCGTCTAATAAACAATTAGATAATAATACATCTTTTGTTACCACAGCTGTACAATAAACTTTTTTAGATTTGAAAATATATGAAACAACTACTTATATTTATTACAAATTAAAGCTTCACACTACCGCTTTTGTATACAAGCCCAGCAGAAGACACATTATTCCATCTATATCCCTCCATCTCCTCTTATTAAAAGGCTTTATTTATTGCGGTATGCAATATGCAACAGATAATGCTGACATTACTGTAATGAACAGTAAAGAGAACATCATAAACTCAGATTTGTTAGCTATAATTGGCTTAATACTTCACACATACAGGGTGAGTTTTGCAGCCTCACAAATGTCTAGCCTGTTTGTGGCATATCGTTGTGGGTTAAGAAGCAGACATTTATTGAGAGCATTTTGGACAATAACTGAAGGGGAATTCCATCAATTTTTCAACATTTTTGCATAATGATGAGTGAGATGTAAATAAAGCCATTCAGGGTGGTTTGATGTGAAATGCACTGCACTAGAGAAACTTACTTTATCAGAATTGCTCACAGTTGGGGTGATACGAACCAGATGTCTAAAGCGTTTCATGCCTCTGAAAGCTACATCACAAAGTTATTACATGAAACAGTTAGGAATATATTGCCTGATCTCTGAGACACTGTTTTATGCTAGTTTTGAGAAAGTTTTGGCCTAAAACGCGTTTTTATCTATTAAATCTATTCATGGTGGAGAGGTACATACAGGTAGTAAACCAAAACTTTTTCTTTTCAGATTTACCATTATTTTAACATGATCAGCATATACATACATATTACAAAATGACAGAAACAATTAGGTTTACTGGTGGTTTTGGATAGTCAATACAATTGCTACATTCATGCGGCAGAAACCACGATCCCTGGTTTATCACCACCACTGTAAAGAAATTTGTCTACTGTTAAAGTTTTCACATCAAACCACCCTGAAAGACTTTGTTTACATCTCAATTATTTATTTATACAAAAATGTTGACCATTGGTGGTTTTCCCCTTTAAGAGTCTAACTTGGTTATGTTGTCAAAGTCGTGTTCAGAAATGCTGCATTTATGCATCTACATACAGAACATATAACTTTTTAGGCTGTCAAAGCTAAAGGCAATGCACAGGTTAGTCTTAAACAGATTTTTCCCCACAGAAAACAAGGGGCACCTGACTTGTCCCATCAATGGCATACAGTAAAATACAGGGTAATATCAATAAAACAACTCTGCCCTGGCTTCTCAGTCATACCATTAGCCACCCTCACTAAAACCCTCTGTCCAAAATTCTCTGTCTGATCCTGCAGGAAATCTTCGTACAGAAATCAAATGGTGGGCTACAAATATAGTTGACCTTGTTCACATCCAATACGAAAATGACGGAGTGTCCTGGGATTTTTTCTGTCCATAGCAACAGTCTGTGTGGATGACCACAAACCATCAAGTCATCAAAAATTTCCAAGTCAGCACACAGTGCACCCCACTGACCAAACACCATTTCACTACTAAAGCAAATTTCTCACAGAGTTCTTTTTGGTCACCATGGTAACACACTGCCTGCATCTTACCCCCCTTGAAGCTTGACAGGCGGCCATGGAGAGGAATGACTAGCTCCCTCCCAAACTACCCCACCCCCCACCTCTCACACCTACACCAACAAACTAACATAGCCTGCTTTCGTCCCGCCTTAGAGAGAAGATATAAGCAGCACACACAAAAAAAAACAAACAAACCTAACAGATGTACACAAGCTACAGGCCAAAAACGACGGAACTGGATGGAACTGGTTGTGTTGGATGTCTGGTATCTATTATTATTGTCCCTCACATGATGTGGGCACTTCAGTGGAAACAGTAGCTGCAGTTCGCGACAATGCTGTTGGACGGAACTCTGTATGATCTATCTGTATGACTGAGATAGCCGAAAGGCAACAACCACGTCCATTATACAGCATAGCCATCTTATCATAACCCAGAAAAATTATTGCATACAAGGACACAGCCTACTGCTGGCTCTAGTGCTCCTTTTTAGCCTTCTGTGTTTACTGTTTAGAAAATATTGTTGGCAACTAGTTTAGTCTACAGTAGCCTGCAGCACTCATGAGGTAAAACTGTCCAATCATCCACTCAAAAGCAAAGTCTTTCTGAGACAGAATTAGCTCTTCACACAACGCACCTAACTAGCCATCATGTGCCACAAAGAAAAAAAACTATAGCCACTTTCTGCACCAATGGTGATGCAGCAATGTGAAAAAGCATGAAATCACATTCTAGCTTTAAAATCACATTCTAGCATTTCAAACAACCATCAGGACTACTATCCTCTCAGTAACCCTCAGCTGAACAGCTCAACCCATTAACTTCAACAAAAGCTTGTGCACGCCAAATTGAGGTCTAGAGAAATAAATGGTACATTATTTTAACCGCATGTAAATTTCTGTCCATGCAAAAATACCAAATACAATAAACAAGTCAAACAAAGCAGATGCACTCAACAGAAGGCTATAATTTAGTGCTCATTATTAAATATCTGTATCTGCAAAAAACTCAGAGCTTCAGAAACCACACTGTATTGTAATGATAAGTTGCAGATGAGGTTGGTCAGCTTAATGTTAATCATGCCAAACTTCTTGATCATGAGTTATTCTGCTCAGCCACTACTGCAACTTCACAGTGTTATACAGTCTGCAGGCAAGCATAAGAGCTTCAGCTGCATTTAACTGTGCTACTGCAGGGTTTATGCATCTGCACATGCTTAGATGGCCATAAATCTAATTCTTTCATATGCAAACAAAAACACTACTACACACAAAAACACTTCACATTAGCATGCACAGCAGGGCTTAACAACCCTGTTCCTGGAGGGTCAGAGTCCAGGAGTTCGGTGATTTCTCTCCTCAAACTATTAGCTGTCAGGTTTAGTAGGCATGTACAAGCAGAGAAATAACCAACCTGCGCTGACTACCCCAAATGTACAGAATCATGGCATTCATAAAAGTAGTCTTAAAAAGCAGCAGCAGCAGCAACACAGAGGGGCTCTACAGTACTCATACATTATTTTGCGCTGCTACGCAACAGAACATTTAACTTAAAACTTTTTATCAAAGTCTTTAATCACACCATGAAACAGCTGAGAGACAAAGACTGGGTGTGGAGAAAGACCAGTCTTACTCAGCCATATAACAGCTTTTGTCTGACTAAGGCAAAAACAACCACCGCTGGACAGTAGCATGTTTATTCATGAAAGCAATGCATCAGCTTCTTTGTGAGTGCGATGGACTGTCAAATAGACTATGAGAGAGGAGCTTGTGCTGTGCTTCACTTCCCTGTTCATAGGCCATTGCTTTGTTTTTGTTTTAGAATATCAGGATCTGTGCAATAATAAGTATTAATAAGTATTAAGTATTAAGTAAGCAGCAGGTTGGAATTCTGGGCCTTCAATCTCCCGACCGTAGCGAGATTCACAGCCGTCTTGTTTCTATCTTGACACTAGAAGAAACGTATATTTTCTCAGATCCCAACTCTATTGCTCAACCATGTTAACCCTCAAATTAGGCCAGGACAGTGACAGAGGCCCTGAGGAACCCAATTCCCATCATAGGTTTCCATCACATGTCTGAAATCATAATCACCAGAGCTAATTCTTGCTAGAGCTTACATTTAGAAATATCATGTTAAGCCTAATGACATCAAACATAATTCATTACATTTAATACTTTCTCATGACAGCACCCAGGCAACCATCAGACAATAGCAGGGGTTGTGGAGAAATGCAACTATGCTAACCGCTGAGAAGATGTATATTTCTGTATGTCTCTGCTAGTTTCATTCCTCTTCAAGTCTAAGGCTGCCGGTAGATGTTTATATAGAGGTTCCGATGTGTGCACTAAAAAGGTAACTGAAAAAACTGTAAAAGAAAGTTAGGATTAGGATTTTTTCCAAAGTCATTTTGGACCCTTTCTATTGATCTATTCATTAGGAAATTTTTACACAATGTAACCAGCAACTGGTGCTCTCTCTACAATACTGTAATGTAAGGACGGACGGACGGATGGACGGATAAGAAAAAAAAAAAAGCAGACACAACATTTTGTTCTGACAGCTGTGATATACTACTCAATCCATCCTTAGAGCTCACTACACTGGAGAAGAGAAGCAGTTTCAGGGTGCATTTACTGAACCAAAACCAATAACACAGGCTAATCCGTCCCCTGCACCTGGCAGTCTTCAAAGGACCAATGAAGTCATGCTGTAATAACACCAACCACATAGACACATCACTGCAGTTACATTAGCCTCTAATTATAGCTGGTGTCTACCTGGTTACAATACAACTGCATTTTATTTTCTGTCACGTTACACCTTCCAAATCTGGAAGGCCAAATGTTACACACCAATACTTCTAGCATCAAACACAAGACAAATATGATATTACTTAGTATAAACTATGTACACACTACATTCAACTAAAGCCCTATTTGAGCTGGATTAGTTTTACTAAAAGAGGTCTGGTAATGTAATTTGTAAGGGATCTGACCTGCCGATTCGTAGGGGATGAAGCACCTGTGTAATTTCCTGAAATTACCTCAAACAGCCCACATCAAAAAGTCATAGCCCAGAAAAAAAAGAATACCCAGTTAATACCAGATACAATAGCATTACGCAAGTAAAGTGGACTCATTTAGTTTAACAGGTGCTGCCCAACAGGACAGAAAGTGTGCTGCCCTGTGAGAGCCATTTTTCAGATATTTACTTTTCATTCTCCTTTTAATCAGTGCACCATCAAAGATATTTAGATTACAGCAGTCTAGCTTTCAATTTAGGATAAACTAACTCTGCTCCATTTTTCCAATCAGCCTCATCTTCCAGCCGATATCTATTACAAGGATTTATAATTACATTACAGAGAGGTTGATTTGACCAGCTCAGAGTTTGACAAACTACAGAAGGTAATTCACTCTGAAATTATTACTTAGCTGACTTGTAAAAACTACAGACATAGCAGATTCATACCGGATTAACATCACAGAGCTCATGGGTAATCACTCAAATTACAGTATATGCCCATGTAAAACAAATGCAGCTTGAATAGACTGAGACCACAACAGGTTTACCCAGCGGCATTATTCTTGTGATAACTCCGCCTTCTACAGTTCTGACTTTGCCTTGAGTGTCCCAGACATTACCTCAGAAATGAGGCCTAGATATCAAACATGCATCATGAATTGCTATACACTGGATGTTGTTAATAGGCTCCCTGTTCTTTTTCATTCTTTTTCAGAGCTTTAATGATACATGCAGTTGTTCAGTGCTGTATACGTACTGACAACACCCATGATATTTTTACATAATTTTTCCCTTATAATGATAACGTATAGTCACATGAAAGTTCGGTTTTTACGTGCATTTAAGCCCTATTTGGTATAAGAAAATATGGTTCATTTGTATGTAGTATAAGTAGTAACTGTTAACTTTTGTTTTTTAACAGTGTCGTAAAATTCAGCAAGTTTCTTCATTACCAGAGGATAACAATGATGGCAGCACAGGAATGACATTCAGTAAAACAAAGCATTGTTTAGCATGCTGACCCAGGTCCCATGCTCAACATATTCTTCCTACGTACTGTGAGCAAACATGCATCCTTCACAAACAAAAAAATGTAATTACTGCATAATTTCACTGATTCAACCCCAACTGCTCCCATTAATTAACCACAGTCACGGGGAACTTAATCTGCACAACATGAGAATAAGACACTGGCAAGGTAAGACACTAATGTATAATTATGAACAACACTGAAACAAGAAAAACTGAAACAAGCAACTTCTAAACAGCTGTAGTGACCCTGCATGCTTATGCACACACTTGCATGTGGCCTCAAAGAAAACAAAGACTGATAAAAAAATTTCAGCAGGTCAGAACAAGTGCTGCCAAAGCAAAAATTGAAGATATTATGGTCAAAGTTCACATCAGGTTAACTGCTTCTCCAAAACACACGAAACAAGACAAGCCACAATTCACTAACATTTACTCAGAGGATCCAGAGACCCTGCACATGCACTGATAAGAGAAAGGCCAACGAACAGTAGCTTTGGATCAACAAACAGAGCAATCGAGTCAAATTGAGTGCCCTCAGACATACACACACTTATCAAAACACAAAATATGCAGCTTGTGACCTTAACAACTCAGTGAAGACAGCGGTTAGTACACAGAAAACGTGCATATATGGAAACTCTATGGAAATAAAAAATAATCAAGCTACAAGACTTTCCTGGAAGTTTCATGACTGAAAGTCTATCTCAGACAGCCCTTTGGGGTAAAGGTGAGGATTGCCGTGAACACTTACTTCACTTTTGTATCATAACCTTTGGTCCAATTAGCCAGATGGATTAAAGGATCAGGATGAGCCTCTGTAACCCATTAGCACCAAAAAGAGCTCCCAGTGTCTTCCAGTAATCCTCAGTGACCCACGAGCTCATTGAGAAAGTGACAGAAGAGCCGAGTGCTCCTCAGACCCAAGGAGAGCAGGATGATGGTGAAGCAGATGCTGGAGGACAGTACAGAAGCCAGCAGTGCTCGCAGTAAAGCAATACTACAGCTGCTCTCAATGCTGTCTCTCAAAGTGTATGAAACCAACCACCCTCGTCCCCCCCCCACCCAGTCAGTGGAAACCCTCCGTTAGTCTCCTCCCTGCTCCTCTGACAAAACAACCCATATCAGCACACTCAGCACCACCTTGTGGTACCTCTAGATACCCCTTATATATATATTTTCACCATTTCATTCACACACACACACACACACACACACACACACACACACATACATACATACACACACACACATATATATATATATATATATATATATATATATATATATATATATATATATATATATATATATATATATATGCGTCCTGTTTTTTCCTTTCCCTTTAGACTTCATTAAGATCCATCTCTCTGTCTTCCGATCTACAGAGTGAGGGAGGACTGGGCAAGGCAAATGAGACAATGAGAAAGGAAGGAAAAGAGGCAATATCAACATCAGAGAGATGGAGCTGCTGAAAGACATTGTATAAAGTTTTATCCCTTCTGTTTCAGGTCTGTTTGACTCTATTTTCTATTAAATACAGAACAAATAAGCCTCTCCCTCACGGACGTATTTGTGTTCAGTCTGACGTACTGCATCCTCTCATCCACTGTTCTTTCTCTGTGCATGGAAACTTACTCAGAGAAATGCAAACAATCTGCTGACTTGTTGCTTGTACGCTACGCCTCTGCTGTAAATCAAGAGAATCTTTTTTTATTTATCGAGTACAAGACGTACGAGGAAAGCAACAAAAGTTCCAATATAAATATAGAAAAGTATTAAAGCTGTGTATAGTTATAAAGTGCATATGTGCAACTGCTTATTAAATACATACTGTACACTGCAACATGTGCATTACAGCAGACATTGCAATCACACGTCACTAAAAATAATAATAATGATAAAAAAGGGAATAACATTAAAGAAGAAGAATAAGCTCAAAGAATACATATGCCTATAAACAAAATGCAGACTTATTTCATAACTGGAAAATGTCTGTCCTTCTTTATACTATATGAATACATTAGTTACTCCAAGTTATTTTATAAACTCTATAAAACTTCATATCAATCATCAATCATATCGGTATCAGTAGATATTTGCTTAAATAAAAATATCAGCCTCAGATGCTTACATCTGAACAGCTGCAAAGGCCCAACAGGAGTGAGTTGTAGCATTACAGAATTTAAAGACCTTATTCAGGGTGCCACCCAGTAAGTCCCGGCTGACCTGGATTTCCAGGGTAAGGAGGGTACTGGACGAAAAGAGGATTGATTCCCTCCACCTTTTCCTTAACATCTGCCTTTCTGTCTGTCTATGGTAAAACCACACTGAGGACAGAAACCAGGCAAAGGAGCGCCTTTTGACTACAATAAAGTTTGGAAGAATAAAAAAAAGCTGAGTAGTCACTGAGGGTGTAACAATTTCAATAAAGCACTGAAAAATTGGAACAATTCGAGTCCAGTATATCTTTTGTTAAAACCACACAACACTGAAACACACTGCAGTTGTTAATAAAGCATCAGATAATGTAGATGTGGTATGTATTACATATTTTAACTGCAATTTAGTTACATGCTGATATCTAAATTCTGGAGAGAGGGGGCTACGTACGATTTAACTGAGGAAGTTCAAGTTTTTTGTATTGTTTATAGCTGATTTGCATCGTTTTAGAAGCTCACTGTTCTGAACAAGAACATGCTACTTCACAATCCGAACCAGAAAATACGTCAGGCTGAAGACCGGCAGCACATGTTCATTTTACACTGTACACGTCAATAATGCAAGAACATTATTCATTTCAACTAATAATCTACTTAGAGGGTCTTTAAAAGAAATGAAATAAAACCAATCAAATAACATATGCCTTCCCTCCATCTTTCACCCAAAGATTCTCTACACTTTTTTCATAAGGGGACACCATTATTCTGGATGAAGTGTCAAAATTACCAAAGGTTTTTACGCCCAACACATCAAACCCTGGGAAGCCACATTATTGATGATTCACAAGACGTTACTTAACTCATCAAAAGACTGATAATTAGATTATTAGCTGATGGTCCTTTAACAGAACACTCCATATACTTTACAATCTATAAAAATAAAAACACAACCACAGTAAGCCAATCACACTATTACATGCTGGATATGTTTAAATGATCTGGCATCTTTTTCACTATCATGTCTTCACAGAAAATGGGAAGAATTTAACGTTATGTCTCTCAAAACACCAAAATACTACTCTTAGCAAATAAAATCAACAGATATGTAGACAAACACCCATTCAGACATGCTGGATTTGCTCTTTTTTATTCATCAAGGCTTGTGGATAGCAAATAAGTCAATAGCTTAACTGTTGACCATTTTAGAAGAGAACGTCCTGTTTTGTGCGATATTACACTGAGAGGCTCTGTCTCTAAACCCTCAGAGCCATGATCAGAAAAGGGGGATGGGAGAGTCAGAGAAAGAACCAAAAGCACAAGCAAGTTTGTGGATTGTGAGAACAGCAAATTGAGAGAGCATCATCCATCCAAGGCATCTATTCCATGCAGCCAGTAGACATAAAATAAAAGAAAGAATTCTAATTTAGCAAACAGATGCCATCCTTAATACAGTCTTTTATTAGACTATATATTGCTCCTAAACAGTCCTCTCTTCCTCTGCACCATGGCAACCATTTCAATAGACTGGATTAAAACCACACAGACATGTATGTAGGCTCTGCAATATAAAGGCTGAGTAATATGGCTTTACAAAACCCGTGGGGGTACGTGGGGGGCTTTAAAAAAACAAATAAAATTGTTGCCAACTAACCATATACTTTGTACGGAAGTGCAAAGGAGAGGGAAAAAAAAAATAACACCCATCCATGTTTTTTCCCCTTCTTCTCTGTTTCTGGCAGCTGTAGCTCAGTATCTTGAAATAATCACTTATTTTCTCAAAATGTTGACTTAGCATCTCAAAATAGTGACTTACTTTCTTGAAATTTGACTTAGGTTTCCCAAAAAATGACAAAATTTTAATAAAGCCAGTCATTATTCTGGGATAGTCAAGATAAGTCGTGAGAAAATCAGTCATTATTTCAAGACAGGAAGTCAACATACTGCTGTTGGAAACATATGGGGAAAAAACATTTAAAGTCAAATGTGTTGTGTTTTTTTTTTTGTCCTCTACTTGGTGAGAATGGGCTTCCGTATATTTTGCGTCAAAAGCAAACAAAAGAATGGAAGTATAAAAGTGGGCGGTGAGCTGAATTAAAAGATCTACAGCTCAGATCCACAGAGGTCAGTGGAAGGTTAGTCTGTTAGCTAGTCAGATCAACAAGCTTAGCTAGCGAACCCACTCTTACTGTGAAAACAGGCCCACAACGCGACAACGTGTGCGGGCTTTTACTGCAGTCTTAAGTCGAAGCTAAACCTCACGGGCCTTTATTATGTGTTTAACTATATGATTAATGACAACTGTCAACCAACAACGATACACACTCTGGGGTGACCATGCTCGTCACTGTCTAGCCGGTTTAGGCACATTTACATCAGAAAGAAAGGAAGGAAGCATGGGGGAACAGTGACCTGTTGCGTTTTGGCTTCTGCGACCTGACGGACCTCAGACGGGCGGAGGAGACCGAACTCTGCAAATCTAAGACAATCGAAAATAATCGCACCCAAAAGCAGAGCAGTAAAGAAAACTGAACTTGACACCACTCACTCACTCACTCACTCACTCACCGACTCCATCTTCTGATTTCAGCACCATTGTTGACAGCGCTCTGGATGAACAGCCGAGCAAACCTGCAGTGTTGACCGCGTAAAAGCTCTTCAAACTCTCAGAGACTCCTGGAGTTTATACTCCACACTCTTTCCTCACTGGACACATTTCAAACGGCAAGAAGAAAATCGCTTCAGAACAACACTTCTAAACAGTTTCGGGCTCCGCAGTACGCTGATATACGGGCGCTGCCATGCCATGCCTTGCGGGAGGGGGAGGAGCTTCACCGCTAGCTAATTTAGAGCAGCCAATCACACCCTGCGGTTAAACGTCTCCTTCGAGCACATGCGCAGTAAGCAGCAACGCCACAGAGGCACCACTGTTCAAAAGCTTGGGAGCAGTATTTTCAGTAGGAACCAAACTAGTATTATAGCCTCTAAACTATCTGGAACCATGACAAGCTCTTACTGTATGACTACAGGTATATTTAAAGGATTTATGATGAAGCTGATATGACTAATTCCAGACAAGCCTGTCTTTTTTTGTCAGTTATTTCAGCATATAACGGTTAAGATGTATGTTTATCATTATTATTTGATTTATAAACTGATTATATCATTGTAATCTAGTCCTGAGGAACCAACAGGTAAGCCTTAGCTTTTCAAATATGATTCATCAGGAACGTATTCGGCAGTGAGGTGGTTAAAAATACATCATATTGTAAAATCTGAAAGTACTAAAGAAGTCCACAAATAGTTGGTTTATGTGGGGCGCTGCCATGATGTAGACAAAATCACAGTACAAGAACAGCTGGAAAATAAACAAACCAGCACTTAAAAGAAAGTCTTATGACCAGAAATTACCGGTTTGAGTTGGAATTGACCATAAATAAAAAGACTGAGCTTTTCATGACAGAACTTTTCCAAAAGAGGACATTTGTAAAGACAGAGAGGACTCTCATTCCCTCAGGATATGATGGAAGATGAAAACATTGCCCTTCAGCTACTGCTAGAAATGGGCTCTTGTTTCCTTTTAAGTAGCATGGCCTCTGGATCTAAACCATGACTAATACCTGATTATGTCCTAAATAGGCTAAAACAGCACAACTAGAATAAATTCTCTGTGACTTAATTACATCTGTAGGATCAATAAGAATCAATAAACACCACTAGATAAAGTTAACACAGCACATGTTTCAGATGTGGGCAAAAAGATACTTGACTGCATTTAGAGTTACAATTGGTAAAATCTTCTGCATGCTGTCATCTCAAATCCTCATTACTGACATTAAAAATGTTCATCTGCCTTTCACATTGTGTGAACACTTC